AGCCAGTCTCAAATAACTCTGAGCTGGGTCATAACTTAGCCTTTTCTGAAGAGATGAAGAAAAAGAAAAATCACGCCATGTCTGTCCTTGTCAGGGACAGTGTCTTGAGCTCACCTCTGGACAGTCACAGCCCCACCCCCACTGCTCAGAATCACATCTTCCCGTGTCTACTGAACTCTCTTTTCTTCCACTCCAATCTATGCAAAAAATAACAATAAACCAATTCTAGAAGATAAGTTTGTAGTCTGTGATTATCTCCACAGAGGATCTTCCAGAACCTTCCACCTTGTGCCTCTTTCTGAAGTAAAACACCAGACTGTTAAGAGCAACTGTCCCCATGCAACCTGAGCAACCAGGTTGCTATCTGGTCGTAGGTGGGGTGGTGTTTGCCGTTCCCACAGCTCTGCGTTTAGCTGTAGGTGACCTTTAAAGATTTACATTTATTTTACTTGTATGTGCATCCCATGACACACATGTGCAGGTGAGAGGACAACTTGCTAGAATCAGTTCTCACCTTCTGTCATGTGGGTCCTAGGAATCAAGTTCAAGTCATCAGGATTGGTGACAAGCTCCTTTATCTACTGAGCCATCTAGCCAGCCCCCAGCATTTTTTTTTAATTTTTATTTATTTATGCCAGGTGTGGTAGTACACGCCTTTAATCCCAGAACTTGGGAGGCAGAGGCAGGTGGATCTCTGTGAGTTCGAGGCCAGCCTGGTCTACATAGTGAGTTCCAGGCCAGCTGGGGCTGCAGGGAGACTCTGTCTCAAAAAGACCAAAAAAATTTTTTTAATTTATTTTTATTTTATGTATATGAGTGTATTGCCTGCGTGTAGGTAAGTGCACCCGTGTCGTGCAATGCCCACGGAGGACAGAAGAGGTTGTCGGATCCCCTGGGACTGGAGTTACGGACAGTTGTTAGCTGCCATGTGGGTGCTGGGATTCGAACCTGGGTCTTCTGCAAGAACAGCCAGTGTTCTTAACCGCTGAGCCATCTCTCCAGCCCAGCATTGATTTTTTTTGAGACAGGGGCTCCCACTGAACATGGAGGGTACTGATTTGGCTAGACTGGTTGGTCAGTGAGCTCCAGGTGTCCTCCTGTCTCTGCCTCCCTAGCGTTAGGAGTACAGGCATGGGCCAACACACTTGGCTTTGTGTATGGGTGCTGGGGATCCAAACTCAGGTCCTCACATTTGCACAGTAGGCACCTTGCTGACGGATCTATGCCTCCAGCCCCTCAGCATGGTAAATATGCATAGCATAAAACTATTTTAAGCCAGGCATAGTAACCTATACTTGTGATCAGAGTGCTCAGAAGGCTGACTCAGGAAGATCATCAGCTCCAGGCTGTTTAGGTTTCAACACAGACTGTCTCAAAACAAAACAAAAACAAAAATAAACCCACAAGAAAACAAAACAAAATTAACATCTAGTGTTGGGATGCTGGCTCAGTGGGTAGAGTGCTTGAAGCTCAGTGGACAAAGTACTTGTGACTCAGTGGGTAGAGTGCTTATAGCTCAGTGGTAGAGTGCTTATAGCTCAGTAGGTAGAGGGCTTGTAACTCAGTGGATAGAGCGCTTATTGGTCAGTGGATAGAGTGCTTGTAGCTCAGCAGGTAGAGTGCTTGTAGCTCAGCAGGTAGAGTGCTTGTAACTCAGTAGGTAGAGTGCTTGTAGCTCAGCAGGTAGAGTGCTTGTAGCTCAGCAGGTAGAGTGCTTGTAACTCAGTAGGTAGAGTGCTTGTAGTTCAGTGGGTAGCACTCACCTAGCATGCAGGAGGCCTTGGGCTCATAAACCAGGCATGGTGGTACACACCTGTCATCCCAGCACTTGGGAGGTAAGGCAGGAGGATCAGGAGTTCAAGGGCAGCCTGGGCTATATGAGATCCTGTCTCAAAGGAAATAGAAGAGAAGAAGAGACAGAGACAGAGCTGATTATCAACCTACTGAAGCCGAGGCCTGGGAGGTTCGGCTGCCATGCCTGGCACATTGTGGTGAAACGAAGCTCTCATGTCATGTCGAGGTCCTCTTCCTACCAAGACCCTCATGCCCCAGTTCCTCTCTCTCTCCCTCCCTCTCTCTGTCTCAGAACCATGCAGTTCTGTCCACAAAGTGAACCAGGGCGCACTGTGCTCCACTCCAGGTGTGGCAGGCTGTATAGTTTTCAGCATCCCTTCTGTTGTGGCTCCTTCCTCCTTCTTCATGGTCCACAGCCCAGCATCACCCAGTCCCTCTGCCTGCCTCTGAGGACCCATGGTGATGCTGGGTGCTGGATGGTCCAGGATGGTCTACAGCTCAGGGTCCTCAGTTTGAGCCCCTCTGTAGCGTTCTTTTTTGCCAGGTGAGGTGAGGTAATTCTAGACTCTGGGGACCTGGATGTGGATATTTTTGGAGACAGTTGTTCAGCAGGTCACAGGCCCCCTTCTAGCCCCTTCTAGCTGATAGAGGCGTCCAGCTTCTCTAGTCACTGGCTTTGAAGGAAGACAGGGCCGTCTGATCTCAGTCTTCTGTCTGCCAGGTGTCCCAGTTGCTGGGGCCCAGGTTGGGTCTCCCCAGGACTGCCACACACTGGCATGCGCCTGGGACTTCCTGAGAACCTGAGGCTCAGGGTCAGCTCAGGTGGGTGGCTGCTCCAGACCTGCCTTGCTCGGCCATTGATACCCACTCCTGGCAGGACACATTTTGAATTTTTCTGGGTGGAAATAAGCCAGGTGTGTCTCAAGGTCAGGTGGTTATCAACTGCAGTGCTCCTGGGTCTTAGCGTCACCTCCTGTCACCGCTGCCACACACCTTAGTCCATCCTACCTGAGTTCCTTTTTCTTTTTCTTTTTGTTCTTTGCTTTGTGTTTGTGGACAGGGTCTCGTGTAGCCCAAGCTGCCTAAAAGGCACCATGAGGGCTGGAGAGCAGCTCAGCAGTTAAGAGCACTGGCTGCTCTTGCAGAGGACCCAGGTTCAGTTCCCAGCACCCACATGGTGGCTAACAACCATCTGTAACAACAGTTCCAGGGGATCCGATGTCCTCTTTCTGGCCTCTTCAGGCATTGCACACATGTGGTATACTTATATACATGCAGGCAAACACTCATACAGAGAAAATAATTAATTTTTTGGTCTTTTTGGGACAGGGTCTCCCTGTAGCCCAGGCTAGCCTTGAATTTACAAAGATCTGCCTGCCTCTGCCTCTGGAGTGCTGGGATTAAAGGCATGTGTCACCACGCCCAGTTAAAAATAAATAATTAAAAAAAATTAAGGCACACGCCTTTAATCCCAGCACTTGGGAGGCCGCAGCTCCAAGCTGAGATATTGGGACCTATGTGACTCTAGGCAGATCAGTGGAAGGGGCCTGTTGGTAAAAAATAAGGCCTTGAAGCCAGGTGTGGTGGCTAGGCCTTTGATCCCAGCACTTGGGAGGCAGAGGCAGGCGGATCTCTGTGAGTTCAAGGCCAGCCTGGTCTACATAGTGAGTTCCAGGACAGCTGGGGCTATAGGGAAACTCTGTTTCAAAAAGACCAAAAAAAAATAAAAATAAAAATAAATAAGGCCTTGTGCTGGGTCGAATACACAGGAAGGGTGTCATCTTCAATGTTCCTCAGAGGCTTTGTTGGCTTATTACAGGTTTAGTCCTTTACATATGTGCACCCACGTAAGCAATGCCCACAGAGGCCAAAAGAGGTTGTCGGAGCCCCTGGAACAGGACACACACACATACACTGACTCAACCTTGCACCGCGCCCCCATGGTTTCCTACAGGTGCCTGTGTTGTCCCAAGGGTCTGTTCTCAGGGAACCCTGCAGCTACTGAGCTGTGCACAAAGCAAGGCCATTCTGGAACTTCTTTTCATGTGATGATCACTCTGGGTGGATCCAGCCCAGCTTCGAGACACTGAGCCCAGAGAGCTGACACCTGAACTAGAGGAACCCACTTCACAAAAAGTTGCCCTACGTATACCATGCATGGTGCACACTTGTTATCCCAGCACTTGGGAAGCTGACGCAGGGGATGGCTGTGAGTTCAAGGACAGCCTTGGCTATATATAGTGAGGTCCAGGCTAGCCTGGGCTACATGAGGAAACTGCCTCAAAACAAAACAACCTAGACATGGTGGTGCTCTCCTATCACCCCAGTACTTGGGAGTTGGAGGCAGGAGGATCAAGGGTTCAGTCATTCTGAAATGTATAGGGCTGGAGAGCTGGCACAGTGGTTAAGAGCACTGGCTGCTCTTGCAGAGGACGTGGATTTGGTTCCAAGCACCCACATGGCAGCTAACACCCATCTATAACTCCAATTCCAGTGGATCCAATGCCCTCTTCTAGCCGAGGACTCTACACAATATGAGTGTAGTTATATATATGCAGGCAACACACACATACAACAGCCGAGCATGGAGGTGCACGCCTTTAGTTCCAGTACTCAGGAGGCAGAGACAGGTGGAGCTCTGTGAGTTCAAGGTCAGCCTGGTCAACATAGCAAGTTCAGGCCAGCTGAGACTACAGGACAGAGACCTGTCTCAAAAAGACCAAAAAAAAACTAAAACAAAAAAAGCCCCCAAAACAAAATCCCCCCCCATATAAAATAAAAATAAATATTTTAAAAAGAAAGGCAAGAGTGTTGTCACAGCTGGGCACCTGCCACCCTGTGTGCCTCCCCGCCTATGTGGTAGGGGCAAGGTGCAGAGTGGCCATTCCCAAGGAGGGAATTTCCTCCTATGGGTGGGACACTCAATTGCTCTGCAAATGTGCAAATGGAGATGTTAGAATTATCTATCCACAGCTGGGCGTGGTGGCACACTGTAGTCCCAGCACTTGGGAGGCAGAGGTAGGTGGATCTCTGTGAGTTCAAGGCCAGCCTGATCTACATGGTGAGTTCCAGGATAGCTGGGGCTATAGGGAGACCCTGTCTCAAAAAGAGGAAAAAAAAAAAAAGTAAAATCAGGGCTGTTGGCGTGGCTAAATGATGGACAATCCTTTGCCCATTTTTGAAGGAGTCTTGAGTCTGTTGCATACCTCTGAGCCATGGAGCCCACGGCACCCGACTTACAGCTCGTGCCAGAGGTAACAAAGGAAGTCCCTGTCGCTGCTCCTGATTCTGGCTGCTGTCGAGTGGCTGTCGCCGCAGCTGTGGTCACCAGCATGGTCATCCTCACTCTGGGAGTCCTTTTGGGTAAGTGTCTGGTTCTCTGAATGAGGCAACAGTGCTCGAAGACATCCTAAAGCGGCCCCGTTTGCTAAGCACCAAGCAGAATCCAAGAGCTGAGCCTGCAACCAACGAGGTTGGGGTGCGTGGAAGTGGGGTGAGTGGAAGTGGGGTAGAAATAACTCTGCTTCTCCAGTTGAAAGGGATCTGGGAGGAAGTTATCACTTACGAAAGGAGATGAGGAGAGAATGAGCTTGTTTTAAGTTTTGACAATATGTTTATTCATATTTCTTCTCCCACCATTCCAGAGACTGAGGCAGGAGGATGGTGGGTGCCAGCACAGCCTGGGCTACCCTGAGACCCTGTCACAAAAGATCAAAGGAAGGAGGCGTGGCTCAGGGTAGAGTGACAGTCTAGAATCCTCAGTGAGGGGCTGGGGGCGTGGCTCAGGGTAGAGTGACAGCCTAGAATCCCCAGTGAGGGGCTGGGGGCGTGGCTCAGGGGAGAGTGACAGCCTAGAGTCCCCAGTGAGGGATGGTGGGGAGACGTTCAGGGGTAGTGAGCTTGCTGGAGACATTCAATTGCATGGCAAAAGAATACATTGAAGGGCTGGGGAGATGGTTCAGTGGTTAAGAGCAGTGGCTGCTCTTGCAGAGGACCTGAGTTTGAATCCCAGCACCCACATTGTGGCTAACAACCATCCTTAAATCCAGTTCCAGGGTGTCTGACACCCTCCACAGACACTGCACGATATGGTGTACTTACATACATGTAGGCATAACACTTATACACTTAAAATACAAATTCAAAATAATACATTGATAATTACTGAGTTTCTACCTGTCATAATTTGTATTAAGCATTTTTTTTTTTTTTTTTTTTTTTTTTTGGTCCGCCTCGAGCCGGGAGCCCGCCCCAGTATTAAAGTATTACACTTTTTGAACTTTGATTATCTGGTCTGATATGGCTGACTGCTGCCCCCTTGTGGCTATGGTTGTGCAGTGCAATAAAATTCACATGCATTGTTCACATGTACCTGTGTGGGTGCATGTGGGTCTCCTGACAGTCTGCAGTGATTTAAAAAATGTGAGACCCAGAGCAGGCCCAGTGTGTGCAGCAACCCTCATACCATTACTTTTAGTTGTTCTTATAAGATGATTTATTAATGTGTATGAGTGTTGTTTGCACGTTATGTAAGGGGACCTGTGTTGTACAATGCCCACAGAGGCCAGAAGAGGGCGTCGGATCCCCTGGAATTGGAGTTACAGATGGTAGCTCTCATGTAGGTGCTGGGAACTGAACTCAGGTCCTCTGCAAGAGCAGCCAGTGCTCTTGACTTCTGAACATCTCTCCAGCTATTGATCTTTATTTTTTCCTACAGCCTCAAATAGCTGGGGTCCAGCCATGCTCCTCAACCTCCTTAGTAGCTGGGACCAAAGGCTTGCTACTCTTCCTTTATTTAAATTCATCTTTTTTTTTTTTGTCTTTTTTGAGACAGGGTCTTCTTGTAGCCCCAGCTGTCCTGGAACTCACTATGTAGACCAGGCTGGCCTCGAACTCACAAAGATCCTCCTGCCTCTGCTTCCCAAGTGCTGGGATTAAAGGTGTGCACCACCATGCCTGCTAAACTCATCTTTAATTTGGTTACAATGTATCTCACAGTTAGAAAGTCCGTTTTCAGTCCCCATAACCCTTGATTCCAGAATTCTGAAGGCAGGGGCAGGTGAGATTGAGGCCAGCCTGGTCTATACAGTGAGTTCTAGGCCAGCTGGGGCTACAGGGAGACCCTGTCTCAAAGAAAGAAAAGAACCCTCAAGCCATATCTGGGGGTCCCTTAGAGATGCCCCAAGAATCCATCACGGAGGGCAGACTGGCAATTGCTCTTGGGGTGTTGTGGGGGGGGCGGGTCTTGGCAGGTGTGGAGTGGGCCTGGCCCTGACCCCTCAGTACAGGTCTCTCATTCGGTGGGGTCTCGCCCCGCAGCCTTCCTCTCTGCACAGGGCGTCCACGTGGAGCACACTGCGCAACTGCAGGGCATCAGTTTCTCCAGCGCACTGCACTGGGAGAACTCAGATTACTACCGTACACTCACACCCGTGCTGCAGATGCTGGTGAGCAAAGCCGGGGCCTGGAAACCAGAGGCCCGGGGTGGAGGCTGCTGCAGGGGAGGCTGGCCTTTGGGGTGGATGATACCAGGCAGAGTAGAGTTGATTCTGAGACTCCATCTAATAAACATGTATGATCATATATTGCATGTGTGCACTTTGCTTGCTCTAGAAGTTTCCTATCCCTGGAGTCGCAAGCTGTATGACCTTTGGTGTCTGGGTCTCTCGCTGGGCAAGGTGCTTTCAAAGTTCCTCCATACTGTGGTGCGTGTCGGAGCCTTGTGGAATGTTCCAGTGTGGGAATGGACCTTGTTGTGTGTGTGTGTGTGTGTGTGTCTGTCATCCATCCACCCATCCATCCACCTATCCGCCTATCCACCCATCCATTCACCCACCCAACCATCCACCTATCCACTTATCCACCCATCCATCCACCCATCCATCCTCCCACCCATCCATTCATCCACTTATCCATCCGTCCATCCACCCATCCATCCTCCCACCCATCCATTCATCCACTTATCCATCCGTCCATCCACCCATCCATCCTCCCACCCATCCATTCATCCACTTATCCATCCGTCCATCCACCCATCCATCCTCCCACCCATCCAATCCATCCACTTAACCATCCATCCATGCATCCATCCATCCACCCATCTCTCCAGCTATGAACATTCAGGTTGCTCCTACATCTTGGCTGTTGTGAATTTTGCTGCTGTATATCTATAACTGTTTGACACTTTGCTTTCAGTTCTTTGGCAGCATAACCCAGAAGTGACATTTAATCCTTTTTATGGCTGAGTAATATTCAATTCCACATAGGAACTATATTGTTTGTTCTTTATTGACACAGCAGTATTTTCACATGAATAATTTCAAAAAGCCCCTTTCCCACCCTATTTACAACTCTGTGATCACCGTGTACTGACATCTGCTGCTGTCATTTCTTTTGCAGTTTGTAAATAGTTTCCAGAAGACAGAGTTAGAAGCCAGCTGTGTGGGCTGCACGGTGCTGGGTTACAGGTGAGTTGGGACCTCTTTAGGAGTTAAGCTATCTTGGCCTGTATGCCAAGAGGATGGAAGATTTTGGAAGATTCTAGAAGGTTCTAGAATTGTCCTGATGAACATTCTAGAAAATTCTGGAAGATTCTAGCAGATACAACCGCCCCTGACCCAAGACATCCTCCTCCTACTCTTAGGGATGGGAACACCAGTGTTCTTGTGCATTTCCGGCTACATTTTCTGCTTCGAGCCCTCCATCCACTGAGCCTGGCCCTGGAGGAGGCCATTTTGCAGGAGGGCATCCGGACAAGGCTGAGGAAACATGGTCTCCCCCTGGCTACCTATGGCACACTTGTATCAGCTGAGCTCACAGGTGAGGGGGTGTGGGCACCTATCCCTGGAGGGCTGCTGGGGAGGGGAGCATCTCCAAATGGCCATAGAAAGATTTTTAAAAGAAATCTCAGAGCTGGAGAGATGTCTCAATGGTTAAGAACACTGGTTGTTCTTGCAGAAGATCCAGGTTTGAACCCCAGCACCCACACGGCAGCTAACAACTGTTCATATCGCCAGTTCCAGGGGATCCGACAGCCTCTTCTGTGTTCACGGGCATTGCACGACACCAGTGCACTTACCTACACCCAGGCAATACATGCATACACATAAAATAAAAATAAGCTTGGTGTTGTGGCACATGCCTTTAATCCCAGCACTCAGGAGGCAGAGGCAGACAGATCTCTGTGAGTTCAAGGCCAGCCTGGTCTACCTAATGAGTTCCAGAACAGCTGTCTCAAAAAGACCAAAAAAATAAATACATAAATAAATAAAACATTTTTTTTTAAAAAAAGAAATCTCCCCCAGTCATGTAGGGAAACCACACCCACACTGCTCACGCTGAGGCCTGGCCAGCTGTATGGATGGGGCCAGGTTGTAAACACTTTCTTTGAGGCCCACAGGGTTCTGTAGCAAGTGCACTGGTCCCTTTCTAGCAGACCTATTTCCCACTACTTTCAGTCATCTTTGGTTCAGTGTGGTCCTAAAAGAAGAGGTGGAAAATTCCAGAAATAAACAGTTCATACATTTTAAATCAAATCCACTGGGAGGCCTGTGATAAAAATCTCAACCCCTCTGTCTGACTGGGATTTGAACCATTTTTGTGACCAGTTTTTCTACCCCGTATATGATACCCTCTTGTTAGTCACTTAGTAGGTGCCTGAGGTATGAGATCCACCATCCAGGTGGCGATGACTTATCTTTCCAGCTGTGCCAGGAGTTTGGCACAAGACCCTGTCTCAAAGAGTTAAAAACAAAACAAACAAACAAAAAACCCCAAAAAAACCCAGAATAAACAAAATCAGGCAAAATGCAGAATCGCATACTCCAAAACTCCAGAGCAGGATGACAGAGAACTGGAGACCAGTTCAGACCATTGTCAGTTAAACACTTGACACCTACAGATTGCAGTCTGCTGATGCCCACACGTTGGCTGTGACTGCCACTTGACATCATGTTCTAGAACTTCCCTTGGTGACAGGAGCATTCCTCATCAAACTCTGAACTTGTAGAATTTCAGTGGCCCTGCTTTGCTCCTTCAACATCTGAAGTAAGAGCTTGATGAAAGGCCAGACCTCACTCAGCTGACCTTCCTGGGAGTCCAGGACTGAGAAGGGTCTCACTGTGTAGCCCAGGCTGACCTCGAACTCGAAACCCTCCTGCCTCAGCCTCCCCAAGTGCTGAGATGATGGGACAGGGTGATGGGCATGTGCCACTGCATCTGGTTCCTGTTTGGTTTTGAGACTGTGTCTCTTCTGTTTCGCTTCAGGAATTCATAAAGGACCAATGACAGAGAAAGACTTAAAGTCAGGTAGGACCCAAGCTTCGACAGACACAACTTCCCTGGGTGCAATGGAAATTTTCTAGTTTCTTTGCAGAAAATACAAGGGATGCTGGGAATGTGGAGCTCCCTGGCCTTGTGCTCCAGACTCCTGGGCAGATAAATCTAGAATCCTGGAGAAGGGGAGAATTACAGAGGTCCCAAGCCTTGTCTACAGCCTGGCCTGGCAACAGGAAATGTTAATTGATTGATTAATTGATTGTGATAGGATATCCCTGTAAGCCCCAGCTGGCCTGGAACTTGCTACGTAGCCCAGGTTGGCCTCAATTTCGCAGAGATCTGTCTGTCTCTGCCTTCCACAGTGCTAGGGTTAAAAGTGTGCCCAGGCAGAAACTAAAATGGTAGGATCCAGGGAATTGGGAGGGGGCAGATTTAGTGTTGAATAAAGACAACTTCAGTGTGGGGAAATGGAAAGTTCTAGAGACTGATGGTAGGGCCGGTTGCACAGCCTTGTGAAGGAGCTTCATGCTGCTGAGCTGTGCACTGAAAAAGGAGCAAGGTGGTTGATTTTAGGATTTTTTTTTTTTTTTTGGTCTTTTTGAGACAGGGTCTCCCTGTAGCCCCAGCTGTCCTGGAACTCACTAGGTAGACCAGGCCGCCCTTGAACTCACAGAGATCCACTTGCCTCTGCCACCTGAGTGCTGGGATTAAAGGCATGTGCCACCACGCCCAGCTATTTTTAACTTTTAAAAGAAACTTTATTGAGAATTTAATGCATGCATATAAGGTGTTTTGACCAAATACACACCAGTCTCTCCCCTCTCAACACCTCCCATATTTTCCCATCACTTTTTCCTGACAATTTTTGTTTTTTCCTTCCTTCCTTCCTTCCTTCCTTCCTCCCTCCCTCCCTCCCTCCCTCCCCCCTGCTTTCTTTCTTCTTTCTTTTTTTCTTTTTTTCTTTCTTTCTTTCTTTCTTTCTTTCTTTCTTTCTTTCTTTCTTTCTTTCTTAATGGGGCTTTTTGCTATTCTAACCACCCCTCTGAAGAGATAACCCTAAAATCTTTTAGGGATTACATAAGAGCTCCCAAATACTTTGGTCATTTTTGGTATTTGGAACAGAGTATGTTGCTAAGAGGCCCAAGGACATTTTAATTTTTAGCCAAGAAACTGGCTACTTTTCTTTGGGGTCTTTTTACCCTAACTGCCTAGCCAATTCCTACCTCCTATTCTTATCACACCATCCTCTGAAGAGGTTACCCAAATTGCTGATAGGGAATCAGGACGCAGACTGCTCTTGCTTCTTCCATACTGAACAGGGATGCAGGATGAGGCAATTGGGGTATCCCTTCAGTCTATCTGGGGGTCTATTTGAAAGACTCCCAAATTGCATAACTCATCTGTAGGCTGAAAAGAAAGTCCTTAACTGGTGAATAGGGGGTGTGAAGGAGAAGTAAAGGCAAGTACAGTTAGCATTACAAGTTCTAGACGGAGGAAGTCAGAACAGGGCAGATTTCAAATGTTCATATCAGAGTCCATCAGGACTTCTTGACGAGCGCTTCCAAAAGCATCCCTCTGTTGGATTCTTCTGCATTTTTCTTTTGTCTGCCAAGGCTGGACACAAGAGTGATGGATTCAGGATTTGCTTTCAGGTATTTTGATAGCACCACATGGAGGCAGGATCCAGGCGCTCTCAGGCAGTCCCCTGGGTTCTCAGCCCCTGTGCCAGAGGGAGGCCAGAACCTGGCACTCCCTGGTGGTGTGCTGAGATTAGTGCTATACTAATGGAGGCTGTCTCAGGCTGGCTGCTAGGATCTCCTTTATTATTTCTGTGTTTTTGAGACAGGGTCTCCCTGTAGCCCCAGCTGGCCTGGATAATTATTTTATTTTATTTTTATTTTATTTTGTGTATGAGCTGGCTATCCAGCCCCTAATTTCACTAATTTCCTAATTTTTTATGGATTTTTCTTTTTTTAAGACAGGGTCTCCCTGTAGCTCCAGCTGGCCTGGAACTTATTATGTAGACACCAGGCTGGCCTTGAACTCACAAAGATCTGCTTATCTCTGATTCCCATGTGCTAGGATTAAATGCATGCGCCCACCTAATCCGGCTAATTTCCTACTTTTTAAAAACATGTGATGGCTATTTTTTAAAAACACATCTGTGCTGCCTGGCCCCGGCCCTGCACCCAGAGATGTGCAGATGGCTGAGAGGGCTCCCAGGCTTCAGGGTTCTGGGTGGACCCCTGCATCTCTGTTGCATCTGGGGGAAGTGGGGAGGCCTGGAACTCAGTTCTCTGTCCTCAGGTCACTGTCCAGGGAATTCTTTCTTCTGTCAGAACGGCCAGTGTGTGCGCAAAGAGAACCCGGAGTGTGACAACACGGTGGACTGTGCCGACGGCTCTGACGAGGCACTCTGTGGTCAGTCTGCCTGCCTGGCAGGGCCCAGGCTATGCCAGCTGCCGCTCTGCTCTCTGGCTGAGAGCAGAAAAGGGGGGGGGACTGTGGTGTAGACAGAGTCAGTGCAATAGCTCAGGGAACCTGGGGTCGGGGGCAAGCCTCATAGGTCAAAGTTGACAGCCAACCCGAGCTGAGCCTGGAGCTGCTGAGGACAGTAGGAAGAGGAACCAGTAAAACGCCATATGAGCTGGGCAAGGTGGTGGACCTGGAGCAGAGGCAGGCAGATCTCTGTGAGGCTGAGGCCAGCCTGGGCTACAGGGAGACCCTGTCTCAAAACAAATGCTACATGATAATATTTCTCTAGTGATCTCAGCCCAGACAGTAAGATCAGCAATCAAGGCCCTGCAGAGCACTCAGTGGGTAATAGCACTGGCTACTCTTGCAGAGGACCCAAGTTCAGTTCCCAGCACCCACGTAGTGGCTAACAGCCATCTGTAACTCCAGTTCCAGAGGATCTGATGCCCTCTTCTGGCCTCCATGGGCATTGCATGACACAGATGCAGGTACATACATGCAGGCAATACACTCATACACATAATTATAAAATAAAGCTGCCCCGTGTCGTGGTGCACATTTAATTCTAGCAATCAGGAGGCAGAGGCAGGTGGATCTCTGTGAGTTTGAGACCAGCCTGGGGTACATAGTGAAACTCTGTCTCAAAAAAAAAACAAAACAAAACATACAAATGGATACTAGGCTTTCAAGGATCATGTGACTTTCATGTCTGTGTGATACAGACTTTTCTCTGATACTGTAAGAGCTGTGTGTGACTTGGGTATCTGACTGCTGGGGCTGGGTGGGGGATGCTCGGAGATGGTCCAGGAGAAATGGGAGTCCCTGAAGAGCGAGTAGGGGGGCACCTTGAACTTGGAGTCCATTGATGAGTGATAGGACGCTGTAGCAGGACAGTCAGGCTTCCTGGGATCCTGGTTGGTGTGACATTGTGTCTTACAGACTGTGGTTTGCAGCCGGCCATCCAGGCCGACAGGATCGTGGGCGGCATGGAGGCCGCCCTGGGGGAGTTCCCCTGGCAGGTCAGCCTCCGCGAGAATGGCGAGCACTTCTGTGGGGCCACCATCATTGGGGCCAGGTGGCTGGTGTCTGCCGCCCACTGCTTCAACGAGTGAGTCCTACCCCGACCATGGTGTGTTGGTAGGCCCTGGGGCTCAGACCAAAGCCGCCTCTGCCTTTCTCCCACCTGCCCTTCCCACCCAGCCTTGCCATCTGCCTCGGAACCCCAAAAGTCTGATTCCCCGCCCCATTTTGTTCTTCTGTTTAGTTTTTTTGACACAGGGTCTCACCATGTATCCCCAGCTGGCCTAGAACTCACTATGTAGACCAGGCTGGCCTTGATCTCACAGAGATCCACTTGCCTTTGCCTCCTGAGTGCTGGGATTAAAGGCATGCCCAGCCACCCTTTATTTATTTACTTTATTATTTTATTTATGTGTAAATGTATTGCCTGCATGTAGGTAAGTACACCTGTGTCGTGCAATGCCCATGGAGGACAGAAGAGGCCATCGGATCCCCTGGAACTGGAGTTATGGACAGTTGTTAGCTGCCACGTGGATGCTGGGATTCGAACCTGGGTCTTCTGCAAGAATAACCAGTATTCTTAACCACTGAACCAGCTCTCCAGCCCCTATTTACTTGTTTTTTATTAAGTTATTTATTTTTCTTTTAAGAGTTATGAATGTTTTGCCTGCATGTAAGTGTACCATGCATGTGCAATTCCCTCAGAGGCCAGAAGAGGGCATAGGACACCCCCCCCACACCCGAACTGGAGTTAAGATGGTGGTCGTTAGCTGGGTGGTTAGATGGTAGGTGTTGGAAACTGAACCTGGGTCCTTTGCAAGAGCAGCCAATGGTCTTAACTACTGAGCCAGCTCTCCAGCCCAATATTTGCTCATTTCTTGAAACAGGGTCTCAGTATGTAGCCCAGGTTGACCTCTGCCTCCAGAGTGCTGGGGTTAAAGGAGTGCAACACCAGGCCTGGCTTTTCATTACAATTTTATGTCTGTGTGTTGACTCCTGTGCCACACCGTGTGTGTGTGTATTAGAGAACATGTAGGAGTCAGTTCTCTCCTCCCATCTGTGCAACCCGCCTTGGCGGCAAGCTCCTTAAATGAGCTGAGCCCTCTCACCAGCCCTTGAATCCTGACTTTTGTATGATCACTGCGACAGCTCCCCGTGCTACTTATCTCGCTGACCACGTTCCTGGCGCCCCTCAAACTGTACCCCCCGCCCCGCCCGCCCTGGCCGGCCCTCTGAGCTGGCTTCCTCTCAGCAGATTCCAGGACCCCGCGGACTGGACGGCCTACGCGGGCACCGTGCAACTCAGCGGCTCGGAGGCCAGCATGGTGCGCACGCGCGTGCTCCGCATCTCCAAACACCCTGCCTACGACGCGGACACTGCGGACTTCGACGTGGCGGTGCTGGAGCTGCTGCGGCCGCTGCGCTTCGGCCGCTACGTGCAGCCCGCCTGCCTCCCGGCCGCCACGCACGTCTTCCCGGCCCGTAGGAAGTGCCTCATCTCCGGGTGGGGCTACCTGAAGGAGGACTTCCGTAAGCGCTCACCTGCTGCTTTGTTTAAACCTTAATCTTAGTGCCTGCGTTGAGCACGCCTGTAGCCCCAGCACTCAGGAGGCAGAGGCAGGAGGATCTCTGTGAGGTCGAGGCCAGCCTGGGCTACATAGCGAATTCCAGGCCAGCCAGAGGTGGAATGACAGCCCAGAATCCAACGTGAGGGGCTGGGGGGCGTGGCCCCGGGTAGAGTGACAGCCCAGAATCCCCAGTGAGGAGCTGGGGGCGTGGCTCAGGGTAGAGTGACAGCCTAGAATCCCCACTGAGGGGATGGGGGCGTGGCTCAGGGTAGAGTGACAGCCTAGAATCCCCAGTGAGGGGCTGGGGGCGTGGCTCAGGGGAGAGTGACAGCCTGGAGTCCCCAGTAAGGGGCTGGGAGTGTGGCTCAATGGAGAGACAGCCTAGGTAGAGGAGCTCTTACCTAACATGTGAGGCCCTGGGTTCAATCCCCAAAACAAACAAGAAAGAAAAGAAAAAGAAAAAAAGAAATTTCTGACCACTGGTGTGGTGGTGTAACCTGCATCCTGGTACTTGAGATGTTGGGGCAGGAGGCTCAGGATTCCAAGGTCGCTGGACTACATTGTGAGTTCAGGATCAATCTTGCACTACTTGACACCCTGTCTCAGAACAAGGGGTTGAGCGGGTGTGGTAGCACATTTTAATGGGAGGCAGAAGTAGCCAGATCTCTGTGAGATGGAGGCCAGCGTCTACATAGTAAGTTCCAGGGTAGCTGGGGCTACCGGGAGCCCCTGTACATACATACATACATACATACACACATACATACATACATACATACATACAAACTTAAAAATAAATTAATTAATTAATTAATAAATAAAGGGACTGGAGAGTTGGCTCAGGGATTAAGAGCCCTGGCTGCGCTTTCAGAGGACCTGGATTTGATTCCCAGCACTCACATGGCAGCTAAAAACCATCAGTAACTCCAGTTCCAGGAGATCTGATGCCCTGTCTGGCCTCCGTGGGTACTGCACATGGTGTGTATTTACATACACATAGGCAAAACACACACTTATTAAAAAATAAGGCCAGGCGTGTGGCACATGCCTTAATCCCAGCACTTGGGAGGCAGAGGCAGGCAGATCTGTGTGAGTTCGAGCCTGGCCAAATCTACATAGCGAGTTCCAGAGCAGCTGGGGCTACAGGGAGACCCTGTCTCAAAGAGACCAAAAATAAATAAATAAATAAATAATAAATAAATAAATAATAAAACAACGCTGGGAATGCTGTTAGAAGAAGAAGCTCATACAGCACCACCTGGTGGTGGAAGGTGGTGGTGTGTGCATCTATCTGGGGCTGAGCTCTGCCTTCAAACATAGGGAGATGGGTAGAGATACCATTGGAGTCCACAGAAGCTGTGGGGAGGGAGGCACCTGTCTTGCGGTGTTACATGTGCTGTCTCTTAGTGTCCAGGTAGAGAGTGATGGGCAGAGGTGGCAGGTGTCCCCGCAGCTTGGGTCCTGAAGAGGAAATGGTTTTCAGCCTCCAGGCCCAGAGTGGCTGCTGGTCCCAGTCTCTCATCCTGCTCTTCTCTGTTTTCATCGGGACAGTGGTTAAACCAGAGGTCCTCCAGAAAGCCACCGTGGAGCTGCTGGACCAGAGCCTGTGCTCCAGCCTATATGGCCACTCGCTCACTGACAGGATGGTGTGTGCTGGCTACCTAGATGGGAAGGTGGACTCCTGCCAGGTGAGCCCCCCAGGCCTTCCCCATGTCCTCCATCGGCAGAGAAAAGCAAATACAAGGTTTTGTAGACAATGAACAACCTGCTGATGGATAGGCTCCTGTTCAAGAATGACTCTAAAATGACTTCACTGGACATGGCACACATAGTGACCCCCATCTATAATCCCAGCACTTTGGAGGCAGAGACAGGATTGTAGTCATGAGTTCAAGGGCAAGATCTTGTCTCAAAGAGCCAAAAATAAAAAGGGAGGAAAGGCGTGCTCTAGCTCAATCGGTGGAGTACTTATAGCTCAGTGTGTAGCGTGCCTGTAGCTCAGTGGGCAGAGTGCTTATATGTAAGCTCAGTAGGTAAAGTGCTTGTAGCTCAGTGGGTAGAGAGCTTTCCTAGCACACATGAAGCTCTGGGTTCATCACCAGCACCACATAAACCAGGTGTGATGGTGCACACCTGTCATCCCAGCACTCAGGAGGTGGAGGCAGGAGGATCAGGAGATTAGGGTCAGCCTTAGCTACATAGGGAGCTTGAGGTCAGCCTGGGCTACATGGGATCATGTCTCAAAAAGAAAAAAGAAAACAAAAGCCCTGACTTAACTGTGTTTATAATTGATCTTATTCTATGAACAATAAGTCATTGGTTTGACAGGACAGGCGGAATCTGTTAAGTCGTGATGTACCTCTGGCCGCCATATTGACAATTGGTGATAACAACTAACCTCTACTGGGTTAAGGAGGGGAGGGGATGTTGGTTATTTGTGTTGAGGTTCAGATTGTCAGTGGTCGAATTATTAGGAGGGTGTACTAGGGAATTATCATCCAACACATGGTCTGTGAGCTGCCATGGATAGAGCTTTCTTCTTTTGGGGTGACTACTGTCAGGGAACCGCAGTCCATGCTGAGGATATGCCTTTGCTTTCTAGGGTGACTCAGGAGGACCCCTGGTGTGTCAGGAGCTTTCTGGAAGATTCTTTTTGGCAGGCATTGTGAGCTGGGGAATTGGTTGTGCAGAAGCACGGCGGCCAGGGGTATACACACGAGTCACCAGGCTACGAGACTGGATCTTGGAGGTGACCAGCAAGGCCAGCAAGCCCATGGTGCCCACGGTGACTCCCATCCCTGCCATCCCCAGCACTTCCTGGATTACCAGCCCTGAGAGCTGGGCAGCCAGCAGCTCTGCCCAAACCACAACAGATTCCAGCACCACAGCCCTGGACTCTGTCACCACTTCCAAGCCACAAGGTATTTGCCAGGCAGATAGGTAAGGTTAGGCATCCCTCTCAGTGTGGGGTTGTTTAGACTGGTGCTGGCTAGAAATTAGTGATTCGTTACCGATGTCTGTCATGAAGCACTCAGTGGAAAAGAGATTGCCAATTGATTATCAATGTCTGTCATGAAACAAGTCAGTGAGATTTGGTGATTGATTATGAATGAAGTACTCTGAAACATTTGGTGATTGATTATTGATGTCTGCCGGAAAGCACTCAGTGGGAATTTGGTGGTTAATTATGGGTGGCTGCCAGGAACCACTCACTAGAAGACTGGCAATTGTGTGTTGATGGCTGTCTTGAAGCACTTAGTGGGAGATTGGTAACTGATTTTAAGTGTGACTCAGTGAGGATGCAGTGAGAAATTGGTGATTGACATCTGCCTTGACACTTGCAAGATTGGTAATTGGTTACTGATACTGTTTATTTACTTATTTATTTATTTATTTATTATTTTGTGTGGATGTGTATGCCAAGATACATGTATGGGGTCAGAGGACAACTTGAGGTATTTGGTTGTCTCCTTCCACTAGGAAATCAAACTCAAGCCATGAGCCCCTGACATCTGTTTGGAAGCACTTAGTGGGGCAGGGTGTAATTGAAATAGGTGATTATTGATATCTGCCTTGATGCGTGATTGGAAATCTATGATTGATTATTGATGTCTGCCATGAAAATATTCTGTGGGATATTGGTGGTTGATTATTGATGTCTGCCAGAAAGCAGACAGTAAAAAGGAGATGGACGATCAATTTTTGATGTCTGCCATAAGCACAGGTATAGGTTACAGATTGCTCATTTTTCAGACACACATTTATTAAAGGTGTAATATAGGTGCATGGGAAAGTAACAGAGCCCAGTGATCCACTCAAAGTGTCCCACATGATCAGTAAGGAACTGGTTGTAAGGATGGATGTGAGACCAAGTCTCTGGAAGGTAATTGTGTGGTCACTTAACACCCTGGAGATGGGTGCCAGATGACTGGATGTGTCTTTTTTTTTTTTTTTTTTTTTTTTTTTTTTTTTTTTTTGAGACAGAGCACTGTGTAGCTCTGGCTGACCTGGAACTTGCTACATAGACCAGGCTGGCCTCGATATCAGAGAGATCTGCCTGCCTCTGTCTCCCAAGTACTGGGACTAAAGGTGTGTGCCACCACACCTGGCTGATCTCATAACCTGAAGTTCCTATTTTACTCTTACATCCCCAGCCCTGTCACCCCCACACCCCCAGTGCCCACGTCTATTTGGCAAAGTCTTGATTGGCTGTATATAGACAGGTTCTTGGGGACCAGGACTCTGGAGTCCCCAGCACATTGAGATCCCCCGGCCCCTCTCTCTTGTCCCCTCACAGATTGCGGGGCCAGGCCCGCAATGGAGAAGCCCAATCGAATTGTGGGTGGACTTAGTGCTGTCTCTGGGGAGGTACCCTGGCAGGTCAGCCTGAAAGAAGGTTCCAGGCACTTCTGTGGAGCTACTGTGGTGGATGATCGCTGGCTGCTGTCTGCTGCTCACTGCTTCAACCAGTAAGGCCTCTGGAGAGGGCTTCGGGGACCCCCTCCTCACAAGCCCTGCCTCTCAGATCCTCAGTGTGTCCAGAAATTGCCAACTAGCTAGGCATGGTAGTGCATACCCATCATCCCAGCATTGGAGAGGCAGGAGGATTGTCAGGAGTTTGAGGACTACCTGGACTACATAATGAGTTCCAGGCTAGCCTGGGCTACAGAGCCAAGGCTGTCTCAAAAATACAAAAACAGGCCGGTGTGGTGGCGCATGCCTTTAATCCCAGCCCTTGGGAGGCAGAGGTAGGTGGATTTTTGTGAGTTCGAGGCCAGCCTGGACCACATAGTGAGTTCCAGGACAGCTGCAGCTACAGAGAGACCCTGTCTCAAAACAAACAAACAAACAAACAAACAAACAAATACAAAAACAGGAACTGGACAGCTGGCTCAGCACTGAAGAGCACTGGCTGTTCTTGCTGAGGACCTGGGTTCAGTTCCCAACACCCACATGGCAGCTAACAACCACCTGTAACTCCAGTTCCAGGGGATCCAATACCCTGTCTGGGCTCTGCAGGCATTGTACATATGTAGTACACTTACATACATGCAGGCAACACACACACATAAAATAATAAGGAAATTTTAATAGTTATTACAATGTAAATGTATAACAGCCAAGTAAGGTGGCTCACAACCACTTGTAACTACAGCTGCAGGAAATCTACTGCCCTCTTCTGGCCTCCATGGGTATGTGTACACACACACACACACACACACACACACACACACACACACACAGAGTAAAGATAAAAATACAAAAACAATTACAAATAAAAAGACCAGAAAACACCTGTTATTGAGTGCGTGTCCATATATGGGGTCAGCCAGAGCCTGCATCATCCCAAGGAGGATGGGTTTTCCTAACTTCCTGGGGAGGCAGCAGGCGGGCTCTTCTGGGATGTGGGCCCATGTGGGCAACAGCCATGCCTAAGGTCCTGTCTCGGCAGCACCAAGGTGGAGCAGGTGTATGCGCACCTGGGCACAGCGTCCCTGCTGGGTGTCGGTGGCAGTCCTGTGAAGCTGGGGCTCCGAAGGGTGGCCCTGCACCCCCGCTACAACCCAGGCATTCTGGACTTTGATGTGGCTTTGCTGGAGTTGGCCCAGCCACTGAAGTTCAACAAGTTCATCCAGCCTGTCTGCCTCCCCCTGGCCATCCACAAGTTCCCCGTGGGCCGGAAGTGCATGATCTCAGGCTGGGGCAACATGCAGGAAGGGAATGGTGAGCCTGGCTATGGTGGGGATGATGTGTTACCCCTGGGCCCAGGAGACAGCAGGGGAAGGAGGGGTTGGCTTCCCTCATCTGGACCCCAAATCACCCCTCTGTGCTGATCCCCACATCCTGTGAACCAGTCATACCTCCTTACACTAGGTGGCCACATGTGGCCCCTCACTTGTGTGCATAAAGTTTTATTGGTCCATGGCCCCCACACCTTGACAAGATGTTTATGGCTGCAACAGACTTCTTTCTGTGCTGACTCAATGGTCTTTAGCCTCACAGCTGTGAGCCACTAGTCTCTTATAGCAGAAACATGTATCCCCTTGACTATGTATAAAGTTTTTTTAAGTCTTTTTGAGATAGGCTCTCCCTGTAGCCCCAGCTGGCCTGGAACTCACGTGTAGACCAGGCTGACCTTTAACTCCTAGAGATTCCCCTGTCTTTGTGCTGGGACTAAAGGCATGCACCACCACACCCGGCTTGAATAAAGTTTTATTGGTACAAGGCCCTCATGGATCAGATGTCCATGGTTGCAAAGGATATCTGTGGTTGTTAAACCCAGGTGAGAGAATTTCAGACCACACACATAAGCCAGCTAAGGGGGGAAAGGAGTCCTTTATTGATTAGCTTGAGACTGAGATGGACAAGATGGAGGTCAGAGGGACCTTGCTGCCATAATTATTTTGGCTATACTTTAGCAGTTGTTTTAGTTAGACTTCTAGGCCATAGTCAGGGTCCTGGAAAACCCTGGATGTTTAGCTGGGGGAGGCTAGTGACTGGGAACAAATGCCCAAGGAGGCACAGACTGGAGTCAGGATGCCTAGGACAAAATGGAAGTTTTTCTACTTCATGCTGACTCATTGGCCTTTAGTCCTACAGCTGTGAGCTAGCCTCTTATTCCAGAATCCATATGTGGCCACTTGACTACGTGTCTATGAAGTTTTATTGGCATATGGCCCCACACATTCACTGACAGGATGTTCATGACTGCTTTTTTGCCACATGACTGAATAGATTGGCCTATTCCCGTCTTCCCCACACTCAGGAAGCTGAGGCAGGAGAATCATAGGTTTGAGGCCAAACTGGGTCTCATAGGCCCTCAACAACAACAACAAAAACAAACCCAAGAGATAGGGGTGTGTTCAGTGCTTGGCTGCCCTGTGCAAAGGCCTGTGGATTGGTCAGATTCTGTGCCTGGCAGCCCTGGCTGGGTGAACGGTGATGGCTAGGTGACCAATCTCTCTTTCCCAGCAGGCACCAAGCCAGATGTGCTACAGAAGGCGTCCGTGGGTATCCTAGAACAGCAGATGTGCAGTGCCTTGTACAACTTCTCCCTCACGGACAGCATGCTCTGCGCCGGCTTCCTCGAGGGCAGAGTGGACTCCTGCCAGGTGGGTGTCATTTGGGCACCCGCCTGAGGCCCTGGATTCCAAACCCAGTACTGAGTGAAGAAAAGGGGCTCAGGGAAGGGCAAGTGGTCTGCTTCAGGTCACTCAGCTCAGCCTGAGTGTGAATCTTGAGTGTGTCTGTTCCTTGGATGGGTATCCCAGAGGACCTGATGTCCTTCTCTTACAGAGTGACTCGGGTGGCCCTCTGGCTTGTGAGGAGACACCTGGTGTCTTCTATCTGGCTGGCATCGTGAGCTGGGGCATTGGCTGTGCCCAGGCCAAGAAGCCTGGCGTGTATGCGCGAATCACCTGCTTCAAGGAGTGGATCCTCCAGACCATGTCCTCTGGGCCTGGCCCCATGCCTCACCCCTCCATCTCCTCCATCCTGCCTCTCTCTAGCCATCCCTCCCAGATCACAGCCCACCCCCAAATCCCAGAGGTCACCAGCAGACCCAGACCCATCACTCTGGGGGCTACCAGCTGGGTGACCCCCAGACAGCCTAACACAACACTGTCCACTAGAGGCCCTGGCACCAGGGGACAGACGCCATCTGCTGATGCCCGAGGTACCACCACGAGTGCCCAGCTGCCAGGTACCAGTGTTGCCTGGGGTGATGTGTGCTGGTGGGGGGACCCTGCTGCATCTGGGAGGGGCAGGAGTGGCAGCAGAGTCCCTACAAGGCTGGGTGTTCTGTGTTCCATCTCCAAAAATGAAAAAAAAAAAAATTAGAGGCCTGGCATGGTGGTGCAGGCCTTTAACCCCAACATTCAGGAGGCAGAGCCTGGTCTACCTAGTAAGCTACAGGCCAGTCAGCTGAGAGCCTGTTTCAAAAAGACCAAAAAAGACCCCAAAATAAAACAAACAAAAAAACGCTATGGAAGGGACTGTGGAATAATGGCTCTCGTTAACCCCTTGCAGGGTTGGGTGTAATCCCAGCACTCCAGAGTCTGAGGCAGGATTGCTTTGAGTTTGAGGCCATACTGTTTCACATATAGCCAGCTTTTGCTTCAACACACCTCCCTCCCCATCTAGAAAAAACAAAAGCAGAGTCTGCGGAGCCAGGGGCCTCGGGAAAAGGGGCCGACTTCCACTTCGTGTGACAGTATGCCTGTTTAAGGGACCCTGTGCACCTAGGGAAACGGTGTCCCCTTCCTTGGGTCCTCCGGGCTCTCTGCAGGAGGGTGCATAAGGGGTATTTATTTTAAATAAACTTTTTTTCTATTTTTTGAGACAGGGTCTCCCTGTAGCCCCAGCTGTCCTGGAACTCACTATGTAGACCAGGCTGGCCTTGAACTCACAGAGATCTGCCTGTCTCTGGCCCCAAGTGCTGGGGTTAAAGGCATAAACCAAAGGGTTTGCTTTCTTCCTACCCCCCCCCCCCGCTTCCCAGCACCCCAGTGGTGACTCCCTGGTTCAGGGTGGTTTCTGGGAGGCCTCTTTTTTTCTGTCCTCTTTTCCCTTATCAATCCTATCCATGTCCTAGCTCCTTCTAATCTTGGGGTGCTCACAAGTTAGGGGTTGCTCATCATCCCACTGTGACAATAAGGTCTTTGGCTCTGGGCCAACAAGGATGTCCAGACTTGGGGCTGAGTGACATTGAACTGCAACTTGAATCCGGACCACATGCACGGGGTTCCCCTGGACTGCACAACAGAATGAGCCTTGCTTGACTCTTGGGGAGTTGCAGACAGGGTGTGGGTGGGTCGTTGGGGTCACAACAGAGCCTTTCTCAAAAGCCCCTAGTGAAGGTGACACTTTGGGATGGTCACCTCCCAGGGACTTGGTGAGCAGCCATGGCTCAGAGTCAGGTAGCTTGTTTGTTTGGGGTTTGTTTTTTTTTTCCCCCATCTTTTTGAGACAGGGTCTCCCTATAGCCCAAGCTGGCCTGGAACTTACTATGTAGACCACCCTGGCCTCAGAGTCAAAGATCCCCTGCTTCTGCCTCCCGAGTGTTGGGATTAAAGGTGTGCACCACCATGCCTGGGTTCGTTTTTTTGTTGTTTTTGAACAGGGTCTCCCTGTGGTCCCAGCTGGCCTGGATCTCACTATGTAGACCAGGGTGGCCTTGAACTAAGAGAGATAGGCCTGCCTCTGCCTCCCAAGTGCTTGAACTACTGGCATGCATCACCACGCCCAGCCCTGGGGTTATTTTTAACTTTTTTTTTGGTCTTTTTGAGACAGGGTCTCCCTGTAGCTCCAGCTGTCCTGGAACTCACTATGTAGACCAGGCTGGCCTTGAACTCACAGAGATCCACCTGCCTCTGCCTCCCGAGTGCTGGGATTAAAGGCGTGCACCACCACGCCTGGTTTTAACTTATTTTTTATGTGAGTTTTGCTTGCATGTATGTGTGCAATGCCCACAGAGGCCAGAAGAGGGTGTTGGATCCCCTGGAACCGGAGTTACAGATGGTTGATAGTTGCCATGTGGGTGCTGGGAAAGGAACCCAGGTCCTCTCCAAGAGCAGCTGTGCTCTTAACTGCTGAGCCAGCTCTCCACCTGTACCCGAGTTGGCTGTCTTGATACTTTCTGGGGAGTCCCAGGCAGATGAATGCTGGCCCCAAATTGGGACTTGAATCTTGGGGTGAGGTGCAGGTCCCTGGCCTGTGGACAAGAATGCACTCTTGCCCTCCCACAGGGTTTTGGGGCCAGCTTAGTGCTGGGTGTATTGAGAGGCCAGGCCTGTGGATGTGGGAAGGGTGTCAGCCCTGCAGAGAGCCAGGCTGCATCACCCAGAGCCACAGGGTCCCTGCTGGGGCCCTAGCCTGTGGGTGTGTAGAGACAGGGGACCCCCTGCCCAGCCCACCAGGCTGATCTCTGCAGACTGTGGCCTGGCGTCTCCTGGGGCACTGACCCGGATCGTGGGTGGCAGTGCGGCTGGGCGAGGTGAGTGGCCGTGGCAGGTGAGCCTGTGGCTGCGACACCGGGAGCATCGCTGTGGGGCTGTGCTGGTGGCTGAGAGGTGGCTCCTGTCGGCTGCCCACTGCTTCGATATGTGAGTCCTGCCCTAGACATTCCAGGGTCCACCTGTCAAGTCCCACACCCCAGACCGTCCTTCCTCTAGCCCATTCCTCCAATCTGGCTCCAGTGCCCAAGGTCACTGAGCAGAAAGCAGTACCCCTACATGGTGGGGCACTGGACAGGGTGGTGGTTGAGGGTGAAGGTTGCCATAGATGCCCCCCCAACACATGGTTATGTGAGGGGGCCTGTGGAGCTTAGGTTGAGGGGACTGAGGGTCCCCATGTATGCAAAGGGCCTAGGGCAGGAGGGAGGCCCTGCTCTGGGGAGGTGGGTGCTGAGCACCTGTGGCCTCAAAGCTCCAGTAGAAATGGCAATGTCTAGGTGCATTCAAGCAGGGCAGGGCCAGGCCACCCCCATTCCCAGAGTGGATGCAAACAGCACCTAGACTGGTCAAGAACCTTACTGAGGCCCCAGCTCGTGTGTGGGGCAGGAGTGGGGTGGTGACACGATGTCCATGCATGCACACCCCACAGCTATGGAGACCCCATGCAGTGGGTGGCCTTCCTGGGCACCCCATTCCTGAGTGGAGTGGAGGGCCAGCTGGAGCGGGTCTCTCGTATCTATCTCCATCCATTCTACAACCTCTACACGCTGGACTATGACGTGGCACTGCTGAAGCTGGCGGTGCCTGTGGGAAGTAGCCGCCTGGTGCGCCCCATCTGCCTGCCTGGCCCTGCCCGGCCCCCGGACGGCGCGCGCTGCGTCATCACCGGCTGGGGATCCCTTCGTGAGGGAGGTAGTGGTGCTGGGGGTGCATGGGGACCGTGGTGGTGAACTTCGGGAGCATGCTGCAAGTGTCTAGCCTGGTGCATCCTGGACCATGGTATGAGGAGTGTTTGTCTCCCACAGGATCCATGGCCCAGCAGCTACAGAAGGCAGCCGTGCACGTCCTGAGTGAACACACATGTCGTCACTTCTACCCGGTGCAGATCAGCAGCCGCATGTTGTGCGCAGGCTTCCCGCAGGGCGGTGTGGACAGCTGCTCGGTGAGGCCACTAGGCCACCAGACACCGAGGCCAAGGGCAACCACATGTGTGCATGTGCAATGGAAACTTAAAAGAGTTCAGCCTGGGGTGACCTCAACTGCTCTCCACCTTATTTTTGTTTTTTTTCAGACAGGGTCTCCCTGTGGCTCAGGTTGGCCTCAATTTCACAAAGATCCGCCTGCCTCTGCCCCAGACTGCCTGAGACTGAATTAAAGGCTTGAGCCTCCATGCCCAGCTCCTCCACCTAGGTTTTGAGCAGTGTCTCTCACTCAACTATTAAGCTAGCCTGGCCAACCGCCACAGGACCCTCCTGATCTCGGTTGACTATTTGCCACATCTGGCTCTTACCTGGGCTCTGGAATGGAACTCACCCTTATGCAGGGAGCTGGCACATCTGGCTCTTACCTGTGCTCTGGGATGGAACTCATCCTTATGCAGGGACCATCTCTCCAGCCCATGCCATTTTTGGCTTTGGTGAATCTCACATCTTGGCTGTTTATTAGGTGACCCACCACAAGGCAGTTTTCCATCCCAACCTCCTATCACGAGGTCCAGGCAGGCTGGGGCTCTTGCTTTTAACCCCAGCAGAGGCAGGAGGATCTCTCTAAGATGGAGGTCAGCCAGGGCTACCAGAAGACCCTGATGGCTCAGTGTGTAAACATGAGGATGAGTTCAAATCCCCACAGCTCACATAGAAAGCCAGGCTGCTTTGCCTAAAGGGAACAAATGAAGGGTGCCAGAGCAGGTTAGAGACACACAGACACACACAGACATATGGTCTTGGGGATAAGGTCCAGGCAGAGGCCATAGCGTCATTAACACCATAAACTTGGGGCCATTCACTTTGTGCCCAGTAGAGGGGTATAGTAACCCAGGACTGAGAACCTTTCTTCTCCCCGCTCAGGGCGATGCTGGGGGACCCCTGGCCTGCAGGGAGCCATCTGGCCGGTGGGTGCTTACCGGGGTCACCAGCTGGGGCTACGGCTGTGGCCGGCCCCACTTCCCGGGTGTCTATACTCGTGTGGCGGCTGTTCGAGGATGGATAAACCAGAACATCCAAGAGTGACTTGGGGTCATGTGGGCCCTGGCCTACAGACAGTAGCATGGCCAGGGAGGGAAGTCCGGCTGGAAGGCTCCAGGCCTGGTGCAACATGCTGTGGGTGACTGTCCATGTATTTTGTTCCAATAAACAGTCCCTTCCCCCAGCTTGCTGGCTCCTGGTTTATTTGGTGCTGGAGATGAACCCAGGGCATCCTGCATGCTAGGTGAGCTCTACCCACGGAGCAATAGCTACAGCCAATCCTTTTTCTTGTAGCTCCAGGTGCCAGGAACTTGTTATACATAGCCTCCACCTCAGAGATCCACCTGCCTCTGCCTCCCCAGGGCCAGGATTAAAAGCATGCATCACTGTGTCTGGTTAGGTATGTAAGATGCCCAGAGAGGGATAGTGGTTTTGAGACACCATGTGGATACTGGGAACTGAACCCAGGTTCTTCAAGGGCTCAGGCATCTTTCCAGCCCCCTCCCCAGCCTCTTTAAAGGCAGATTCATAAGCCAGACTGGTGCACTCACCTTTAATCCCAACACTGGGAAGGCAAAAGCAGGTGGATCTCTGTGAGATCCAGGCCAGCTTGGTCTACATGGCAAGTTCCAGGCATGCTGTGGCTATAGGGAGACCCTGTCTCAAAAACAAGAGTCTTGCACATAGCCCAGGCTGGCCTCCAACTGCCGATGCTGGAGTCCAGGCACCTTTGTCCTGTGACGGACAAACGCAGCCCAGCAGCCCGAGATCAACAAAGGAAAAAGATACTGTCCCGGAGGCTTAGGCCCACTCAGGCTAGGGGGACCCAGGACCCACGAGACTCAGAAAACATACCAGTTTCTCTGCCCTCATCAGTGATTTATTGGCCTGCTGCCATGAGGTCATATTTTGGGTGGGCGAAGCCAGGTTCCCGCATCCCAACAGGCCCATACTCTTTTGAGGCTGAGCCGGGCCCAGCAACCCAGGGGAAGACACCCCGAACTCCCAAGCTTCGGGGCTCCGGGGGCCTCAGTCCCCCCAGTCCCCTGCTGCCTTTGCAGGCGTGTGTGAGGTGCACATCCCGACTGTCCCCCACATGCGGAAGGGCACCCCCACGAAGTCCCAGATCCCGGGTGGACAGTTCAGCGTGCTGGCCCGTCCCGGGGCTCAGTCACGCAGCTGCCCCGCATCGCATCGCGGTCACATGTTGGCTCGTTCCCGCTGCAGTCGCGAGTTGTAGGCGCGGGACACGGTATTCCAGGCGTCCATGTAGCGATCCATGCACATGGCGATGCATTTCTGCAGAGCGTAGAGGAACCCGGGTCTCAGTTTGAGTTCCTGTGACCCCAGGAGCGCTCTCTAGAGCGCCGCTTAGCGCTCGTAGCGACTGCGCAAGCGCACAACCCATCATTGGCCCACCAGAATGGCGGGGCAACGCTCCAAAACTGCGTAAGCGCAGGAGCTACGGCGACTGTCCCGGACCCCAGCAGAACCTCCAGCAGCTTCCCCAGCGGAGTCTCACCTGCTCCGAGTTGTCCAAGGAGCCCCCCGGCTTCCCGATGCACTTTCGGAAACACTTGTCGGTCATCCTCTGTGGATACACGCGAAGTCTCAGCCGCGGCTCCCAGGTTGGAGCGGCCCCGCCGCCGCCCGCCGCGCGCGCCTCACCTGCAGCAGTTCCTGCGCGTTGGCCACGGCGATCTGCACCTTCACCTGCTCCATGATGAGCCCCGGGTCCAGCTTCCCGCCGCCCGAACCCCCGAAATCCGAGCCGAAACTGCTCTCCATAGCTACGCAGGGTCAACCCGGCTGCGGCCGCCGGAAGCCAGGCCGCCCGGAGCAGCACGGGAAACGGAGTTTGGTACCTAAGTAACTCCAACTCCCACAAGGCCGCGCGCCTCCCAAACGTGAGCGGGAGGGTACGCCTGGAGCATCACGGGAAACGGATTTCGCGTCCAACTCCCACAAAGCTTTGTGCGCCGTCCCAGCGCCGCAGGGGGCGGGGACGCCCGGGGTACCACGGGAAACGGATTGCTTTGTCCAACGCCCATAAAGATTCGCGCGCTGTCTCAAGCCTCAGGGGGAGGGGACGCCCGGGGCACCACGGGAAATGGTATGCCGCTTCAAACGCCCACAAAGCTGCGCTGTGTGGTTGTAAATCAGGCACGGAGCTTCATAGCCAGGTCCTTAGGGAAACAACGCAGCCTGCATCTGCCACAAGGTGGCATAGGGCATCTCAACTCTTGACAGGAAGCTGAGCTACTAGGCCGAACCAGAACCGAAAGTAAAATTCCCAGAAAGACAAGCGCACTGTCCTCCGTCTGTGTGAAGGCCAGATCACCATTATCCAGACTAATGCCCAGAGTGCTAGTCCCAACCTGAGGCGTTAGCGACCCATCGGCAATTCGATGGGCAATATTCAGACTACAACTCCCATAAGACTGCGCGACTTGTACGTATGCACATGATTCACTCGCGCTCTGGATCTCTGCCTTGGAGCGTGCGCAATGGCCTAAGGCACGCCTACAGCTGTACTAAACTCAAAGTAGGCGGGTGTTGGCTGCTGCCCCGGCTGGAGAATCAACCTGGAAGCGCCTGTTTAAATCAAAGTGTTTATTGGAGTGTTGTACAAAAATTTCCAGTCGTAAAATGTATTTTACAAATCACAGGAGAAAAAAAAAAGGCGGAACACACGTTTGGCATGCATCTTAAAAAAAAAAAAAATCAGCAAAGCCGAGTAGTACACGCAGTGCAGGCTGCTCCTCGGCCGCAGCGACACTCGCCTACGTGCCCCCTCAGCCTGGACCCCCAAAAGCAGCTCGGACGAAGCCGGTCTGGCAGGTGCACCCAAAGAAAGGGGAAGGCGATAGGGCTAAGTGGTAGCCCACCTGGACACCCCAGCTACCACTGGAGACACGACCCAAGACCCACCCCATCGCTTCGGAATCCAGAGGCGTCTGGAAGCAAAGGGGTGGCTAGTGTGTCCCGGGCGATGTTGGTGGCATCCTGTGGCTGTGTATGAGCCCTTGCCTTTTAGGGGCTGGGCTTGAAACCCTCCTGCTCCCCCAACTCTAAGTGGGTAGGGCAGTGCGCCATCCCCAATGGCTCAGTAGTGACGTGAGACTCAAGCTGCACTTTCTGAAGGAAGCTACCAGTCACCGGTGTCCCCCACCTTTGAGTCACCCCTCTGGGGACAGTTGCCCTGTCTCAGTTGGTGGTCGTGGGTCTTAAACCCCTAGAGCAGGGTCTTAGTGACCTGCGTTACTAACCGATGTAGAAAAATAAATATCCGTTAAAAAAATAACGTGTGTCTGTGCGGGTGAGGTAACTGTGACAGGCCAAGGGCCGGCTGGCACCTGCAGGCCTGAGAGACAGTTCCAGCGCAGGCCACAGCGGTGGTGGACACAGGTGGGGCGACATAGCAGTGTGTGCATGGCCTCCCCACCCTGAGCAGTCACCAGTAGGAAACTCACAACCCCCATCTGTTCCCTCCTGTCTCCAGGGGTGACGTTCTTAAAGATGTCTCATGTGTGACATCTTCCTTCCTGCCTTCTTGGTCCTCCGCAATAGAAGGGACTAGAAGGTTCTAGAATCTAGGCTCAGTAAAGCCTCCTACTGCCCTCATGTTGAGGACTGTCACAGACCCCCTGGAGTCGGGACACTGCTGGGGTGGCCCTAGGCCCAGGTCCATCCCTGTCTGCAGAGCCACCAAACTATGACTGGTGATTCCTGAACCCTGCTATAACCTGATTCTGTTTGCCTGAATTTGTTTTGTTTGAGACAGGGTCTCCCTGTAGCCCTGGAACTCACTGTGTAACTCAGGCTGGCCTGGATCTCATAGAGGTCCATTAAAGGCGTGCCCCACCACACCCCAGTGAATTTGGTTTTTAAAAAGCATTAAAGAAAAAAACTCTCAACTAGTGACTCACTAGGTAGTGTGCACTTATCCACCCAGGCTCTGCAGCCACCCTGACCCCCAGGTCCACCTTTGAATGGAGGGAGGCAAATACCTGCCGTCCTCCACCCTTAGGCTGGAGACCCTCAGCCTGCAGGGTCCCAGCCCAGGATGACAGGAGGTGACCAGGGTAGGCGAAAGACATCCACCCAGAGAGCCACCTGGGTTCTCAAAGTTGCTTAAGAATCACCTAGAAATATACCAAAGGCTAGGGGGGAGCCAACCATAGAAAAATTATTTCAGTGACTCTGGTGGCCGCAGAGTAGGGGTTTTCACTGCAGGTTCACATCAGCTGGCAGCCCCTTGAAGTGGTCCTGGGGTCTCCCTGAAAGGAGCAAAGGGGACGGGGAATCAGACAGCAGGCTAGAGCCCAGCTTCTCCTAGGGGTGACCTGAGCTTCCTGGGATGCCAAATCCCACCCAGGGTAGCAGTGTCCCCTAGTCCCTGTCCCCCCCTTGCTTTGAGAGGGGCAGGACACACAGACCCAGTATTCGGGGTGGGGGGCAACTCTGCAGATATGGCTTGAGGCCATGGAGCTGGGTGGCATCATGGAACCCACAAAAAGAGTGACCAGGGATCTCCAGTGTGTAGGGGCCCTAGGGTTTAGCATACTATAAGGAACTAGGGTTTAGCATACTGTAAGGGACTAGCCAGCACTGCTGAGCACCCCGAAATCCTTCAAGGGACCAGCTAGCGCTGCTGAGCACCCTGATACCATGCTGCATGGGGTTGTCACAGCCCCTCACCTGCTGGTGGAAGAGATCCTCTTCGCCGAATTCAGCCTCCTCCTCATCCTCCTCCCCATTCTCGCTCCTCTGCACTGCGGGTGAGGACTGCCTTATATCCTGCACGGCCACTTCCTGTGAGACATCATCAATACCAGTGGGCTAAGCTCCCCAGTGTGGGCCCCAGACCTATGCTGGAGGCTCCACACTCTGCTACTGATTTACCCAAGAGTTCAGCTCAGACCCTCCAGTACCCACCTCTCCATCCGAGTTGACCAGCACAGTTCGGAAACTCTCGCCTGAACCCCAGGTGCTCTGGTTCCTCCACACGAGAGTTGATGGAGGGCTGTGGGCCACCCCTGCACCAGCTGCCCACACCTAAGAATCCAAGATGGTCCCCCATCAGTCACCTCAGGGCCCTGGAGATGTCCACCCACTACATGGTTCTTCACTGGGCTTGTCACCAGGATGTAGATGAAGAGACAGAGGGTACAGAGGCTCACACTGGCCCCAGGCCTCAGCTATCCAGACAGGCTGGGACCAGAAGCCTCGACGGAGTCCAGGCTCCACATCCAGAGCTCTGACCCTCCACTAGGTCTCAAATAGGTAGAGGGCTGGGCAAGTTACTTTGGCAACAGGGACCCCGCCCCCCAAGGGTAGTCATCCTAAAAAATGCTGGATCCCTGAAGTGCCTTATGGGCACCTGGCTACTTTCCCCAGACAACCTCCCAGCAGCCACCTCTTTTTCGCTGAGCCCTGTTCACCAGTCTGTCCTGCTACCACCTACCGTGACTGTCTGGCCAGCTCGCAGGACATACTTGGGCGTAAACTTGTATGAGATCTCCTCACCCTCCAGGACCTGCCTCCTGATCCTCCAGTTCCCCAGGGACTGGTCCTGAAATGAGGGCACATATGACCCCACTGTGGGTGCAGGAGGTGCAGCACTTCCCCCCATCATTTCCCTTCCGACATCCCCCCACCCCCCACTGTCCCCATCCTGCCTACTCAATGTCGCCAAACCTGTCTGTGACCCTGTCCTCCATATCCCCCACATCACTCCCTTCCCCCGACATCCTGCCCCATCTCACCTTGTCGGAGCTGTTCTTGAGCCGCACGAACCTGCCGTCCACATCCACCTCCTCGATGTTCACCCCACTGGAGGCAGTGACCTGCTGGGTCAGGCGGAAGCTGCTGCTGCTTCCCGAGGCGAAGCCGCTGGAGCTGCTGCCTGGGGAGTCCTGGGCTTCCAGGCGCCGACGCTTGCCCCGGCCCCGGCCTGGGGTGGATGCGCTGCTGCCGCTGCTGCTGGATGTAGTCCGTGACACAGTGAGCCGGGAGGACGGGCTGGGAGACAGCTTCAGCCTGCAGGGGGACGGGTCAGATGGATGGTCAGATGGATGGATGTCCCAGAGCACGCCAGTCCCCAGGTCCCACCCACCTGCCAGGCGCAGAAACACCTCAGAACTCCATCCTCTTACCACACCCCCTCTTTCCTTCTGGAGCACTCCACCTGTCCTGCCAGGCTCCACCTGTTTCCTCCTGTGACCCAACTCCTGCCTCCCCAACTGTCCTCCCCAGGCTTTCCTCCCACACCCCCTCCCCTCCCCCTGCCTTGCCCTGTCCCTCAGGCCCGCAGGCCCTGCCCACCTGTCCTCTTCTCCCTCCAGCAGCTTTCGGTAGGCCGCGATCTCCACGTCCAGCCCCAGCTTCACGTCCAGCAGCTCCTGGTACTCAGCCAGCTGCCGTTGCATGGCGTCACGCGCTTGAATCATCTCCTGCTCCCTCGCGTCCAGCGTCTGGCGGAACCTGTCACGCTCAGCCTGGAGGGCCTCCTCCAGCTCGCGGGCACGGTCCTCAGCTGCGCTGGCCTGGGTGGTCACGCGTGGGTGTGTCAGGCGTGGGCTCGGGTCAGGGGGAACTGCGGGGGTCCCGGGTGGAGAACAGGGGTCCTCACCTGCTTCTGGAGGCCCGAGAGCTGGTAGCTCATTGACTCCATGCGCATGCGCGCCTCCTTGAGCTCCTCGCGAGCTGCACTGGCTGCCTTGTCGTTCTGGTCAGAACTGAGCTTGGCATTGTCCAGCTGGGGGGGTCAGGATGATGAGCACCAGAAGACCGTGTGGCCCCTCCCAGCCTCTCTCCCCTCCTTGTCCTTCCCCGCCCACCTTGGCCTGGTAGGTCTGCTCCAGCTCCAGCCGGTACAGCTGCACTTGCTCATCGTGTTGGCTGCGTAGCTCCTCCAGGGCCTGCGCCATTTTGAGGTCATATTCCTGCTGCCGGCTGCTGTCCGCCTCCACCAGATGCCGCTCGTGCTGCCGCCGCGTCTCTCGCACCTCCTGCAAGGGGACAGTGCAGTGACCCCACTGCGTGGGGGCTGAACCTCTACGCACCTTGTATCCAGGATGGACACAGTATGGGCCATAAACACATTGGAGCACTACTCCGGGCAGGTCAGACACACACCACAGTGGGGACTTGGCTCTCACGAAGAGACCAGACACCAAAGGCCAACACGTGTCAGACTCCACTAATACAAAATACCCAGGCCAAGATGAGCCCAGCACTCGGGAGGCAGAGGCAGGAAGATGGCTGTTAGCTCAAGGCCAGCCTGGTCTACACAGTGAGACCTTGTCTCAAAAAAACAACAAAAAAAGATCAGCACAGGAATCTAAGCTGTGGCTGCTTTGTCTGGACAGAGCCACATCTGTGCACACCTTCCTGATGCCCCACATGGCTACTTGGGGCGTTCCCCGTTGTGCATCCCGCACCAGTTCCTTCCGAGAGCTCCTAGGTCCAAGGCGGCTCTTCTGGGAGCCTGTCCCCAGCACCCTTGTGGGTCCCATGGCAGGAGACTTCCTGGTCGTCTTTCTGGGTCCCTTCAGGGGTCTCCCCATGGCTGCTGGCTGGGGTCTCTTGCAGAGTCGTCCCACGGATCCCTTCGGGGATCCCGTCCCAGATGCCTGCACAGACGCCCCCAGGAGACTCTTCATGGACTCCCTTGTGGGTGGCTTCGTGGGAGACCCCACTGCACCCTTCACGAGGGTCTTCCTAAGTCCACTGAGGCATCGCCTCACACATTCCCTCAGGGGTCTCTTGGTGGATGCTCCAACCTCTCCCTCCACATGCTCCTCCAGGGGGGTGTCCTCCATCGGGAACAATCTTGTCCCCTCCACGATGTCATGCTCCATTGTAAATTCTGTCTGAGGACCCTCCACATGTTCCCTCACAAGTTTTGATTTCTTTGGGGGTTCCCCGAGGACTTGGGGTCCTCCCTGAGGCATGACCAGAGCCTTCATGGGTTCATGTTGGCACATAGGTCTGTTCATGGGCTCCTCTGCCAGGTCTGGTTCACTCACATAATTGGGGCCCTTCATAGGTTTAGGGTTCCCTGCAGAGGCCCACACCAAAGCCCTAGTGGTGTCCTGGGCTCCCTGGGTGTCATCCCCTGTGGCCGGGCTTGGCTGCATCAGGATGCTGGTGCTGGGCTGCACACTCATCCTGCCCGCTGCTCTTTCCCTGCAGTGACTGGGCCTGGCTGCTGAGGGGTGCAGTGCCCTGGCTGTGACAGCACAATGAGCTCTGTGACTGCTGAGGTCACCAAGGGGCGGAGCTGCACATGACCCCGTCATTCCCATGGTGCCTGGCACCCTAAGGGGCCAGAGGGGTGCAGGAGCAGGTGGCTGAGGTAGGAAGGCAGCAGAAGCCAGCCAGGCTGACCCTGTCTTCCCTTTGAGGGGAGACCCTATGGTTGGCTGAACAGAGACCCCCCCCAAAAGACAGGGCTACATCCTGATCCCCAGAACCTCCTGTGCAAACAGGATCTCTTAGGATGAGATAAGGCTGTGGGTTCTTTGGGAAAAATATTTTTCTAGCCAGGGCGTGGTCGTTCACACCTTTAATCCTAGTACTTGGGAGGCAGAGGCAGGCCACTCTCTGTGAGATTAAGGCCAGCATGGGCTACACAGTGAGTTCCAGGCCAGCTAGGGATACAGGGAGACCCTGCCTCAAAAATAAATAAAATAGCTGGGCACAGTGGCGCTCACCTGTAGTCCCAGCACTTGAGAGGCAGAGGCAGGCGGACCTCTGTGAGTTCAAGGCCAGCCTGGTCTACATAGTGAGTTCCAGGACAACTGGGGCTACAGGAAGACCCTGTCTCAAAAAGACCAAAAAAATAAAAATAAAAATAAAAAAATAAATAAATTAAATAAATAAAAATTTCTACATTTTAAAATTTATTTGTGAGGGATACTGTGCTATGGTGCACACAGAAGTCAGAAGAGAGCTTGGGGAGTCTGTTTTTCCCTCCTTGTGTGCCCCAGGGACTGTGCTTGGGTTGTCCGGCATGGTGGCAAGCCCTTACATGCTGAGCAGTCTCAATGGCCCAAGTTAAGGCTCTTTTTTTCCCTTTTCAAAAAAATTTTTTTTTGTCTTTTTGAGACAGGGTCTCCCTGTAGCCCCAGCTGTCCTGGAACTCACTACATAGACCTGCCTCTGCCTCCTAAGTGCTGGGATTAAAGGCATGAGCTACCATGCCGAGCCCGCCATGCCGAGCCTGCTCAAGATTTTTATTTGTAACTATGTGTCTATGTCTGTGTGTATATAAGAGCAGACAAGTGCAGTACCCACAGAGGCCAGAAGAGGGCATAAGATCCCCTGGAATCAGAGTTATGGATGGTTGTTAGCCACCATGTGGGCACTGGGAATAGAGCCTGGGCCCTCTGCAAAAGCAACCAGTGTTTTTACTACTTGTAAACATGGTTTTGGGGTTTTTTTCTTTTTGTTTTGGAGGGTTTTTTTTGAGACAGAGTCTTCCTGTAGCCCCAGTTGGCCTGGAATTCAACTATGTAGCCCAGGATGGCCTTCATCTCATAGAGATCTCTAAGGGATGGCCAACGACCCACGAGGAAAGGGAGAGACCCCACAGAGATCTGCCTGCCTCTGCCTCCCCAGTGCTGGTACTAATGATGTGCATTGCCCTACCCTTGAGTTCTTGATGTGAGATTCCCCATGACTTGAGTGGACACAAAATCCAGTGACAAGTGTCCTGAGAGACACAGGGGGCTGGCAAGAGGGCTCAGTGGATAAAGGTGCTGGTGGCCAAGCCTGTCCACCTGAGTTCAACCCTCTAGGCCGACACGGAAGCCATATACAGATGGGAGACAGACAGGAACCACAAACCCAGGGTCTGCGGAGAGTCCCCTCACCTCTTCAAAGACATTTTTGCGGAAGTCCAACTCCTCCCGCAGGCTCTGGCAGCGGTTTTCCAGGTCCACACGTGTCAGTGTCTCCTTTTCCAGCTGCTTCTTGGCCACAGCGTGGGCATCCTCTGCCTGGGAGACATAGGGTTGGGATCAGGGGATCCCAGGAGATGTGGGGCAGGGGGAGGGGACCCTGAAAGACTTGGGGTGGTGGAAGGAAACCCCCGGCTGGTCTGGGTGAACCCCAGGCACCAGCAGCCCCTGGACCTACCTTGGCTAGCTGGGTCCGGAGCTCTGCCACATCACTCTCCAGGCCCCGCTTGTCACTGAGGGCTGCTGCCAGCTCAGCCTCGCTCCGATGGAACAGGGACTCTAGATCCTTCACTCGGCCCTGTGCCACTGTGAGCTCGCCTTCCCGCTTCTTCGTGCTAAAAAGCCAGAAGATGAGTCATCAGACGGCACCAGGGAGGCCACGGTACGCTCATGGCGTCCCTTGTCAGTGATGAGCTTAACTGCCTGTCATGCTGGCACTAGGGCAGCTGAGGCAGGAGGATTGTTGTTAGTTTGAAACTGCCTGAATTATAGAGGAGGCCTCAAAAACAACAAAACAAAACAAAACAAAACAAAACCCTAGAAAAACCAAAACAAGCCTGGTATAGTGGCACACACCTTTAGTCTCAACACTTAGGAGGCAGAGGCAGGCAGATCTCTATGAGATCAGGGCCAGCCTGGGCTACATAGTTGAGTTCCAGGATAGCTGGGGCTGCAATGAGACCCTGTGTCAAAAAAGAGAACAACAAGCCCGGCGTGGTGGTGCACGCCTTTAATCCCAGCACTTGGAAGGCAGAGGCAGACGGATCTTTGTGAGTTCGAGGCCAGCCTGGTCTACATAGTGAGTTCCAGGATAGCTGGGGCTGCAATGAGACCCTGTGTCAAAAAAGAGAACAACAAGCCCGGCGTGGTGGTGCACGCCTTTAATCCCAGCACTTGGAAGGCAGAGGCAGACGGATCTTTGTGAGTTCGAGGCCAGCCTGGTCTACATAGTGAGTTCCAGGACAGCTGGGGCTACAGGAAGACCCTGTCTCAAAAAAAAGACGAAAAAAAAAAAAAAAAAAAAAGAACAACAAAAAAACCCAAACCAAAACTCAACAGGCTGGGCATGGTGACCCATACCTGTCATCCCAGCACTCTGGAAGCTGAGCCAGGAGGATCTGGAGTTCGCGTTCCTCCTCAACTACTTAATGAGCTCAAGGCTAGCCTGGGCTACATGAAACGCTGTGCCAGAAAAAAAAATCTAAGTGCAGTTCCTAGAGTGTGAAACTATTTTTGGGATGCTCATTGGACAGATCCAGACAGGAGTCTCTAGCGCCAAAGCCTCAACTTGCTGAGGTAGCTGGAAAGCAGAGGTGGCACTGGCTCCTTTGATGTGGCCTGGCACCTACCCTCGGCCCTGGGACTCCCACACAGCAGCTTATTAAGCCTGAGGCAGGGGCTAGGGGCAGACAGCCTGGTGTCCAGGTGCTGGCAGAGGCCAGGCCAGGCCTAGGGCCACCATGAAAGTCAGACGGTCCCTGGGGGCCCAGACAGAGGAGGGTCTGAGGAAGAGACACAGGCAGGAAAGCTGTGGGAACAGGGCTCCCCAACAGCCTTTCCTAGGAGTGGTAGATAGACCAAGGCACAGGGAGAGGAGGGTTACTAATGAAGGAGGTGCTGGGACTGCATGGGACAGAAACCCAGGCAGCTGAGGTGGACTGAACATGTCTAGGTGGCACATGATCCAGGGATCTTGCTGCTGTCCCCAGGCACACACGTGGGTTTGAACATATGTGTATGTGAGCACATGAGCCTGAGGCCAGCAGTTCCAGGCTGGGGTGCTCAGGGTTCCATTTCAACCCCACAGTCTCTGGGAATACCTGCCTGATCCTCCTGCCTCCACATCACCAGTGCTGGGGTTACAGATGTACACTACCACACCTGGTTTATGTGGTGCTGGGAATGAACTCAGGGTCTTGTGCATGCTACATGAGCACTCTACTCACTGAGTTACAAGCATTTTACCCACTGAGCTATAAGCACTATTCCCCACAGAGCTCCAGCACTTTATACACCTAGCAACAAGTACTGTATCCTACAGTGCCCGAGCACTCTGCACACTGAGCCAGATGCTCTACCCACTGAGCCCCAGCACAGAAAGAGCCTGGTCCACTGAGAGCTGTGTCCCTTGAGGTCAGCGCCTGTCTACCATGCGTGGGTGCTGGGGAGCCACACTGCAGTTCTGCTGCATTATGACCCTGTGTGCGTGACCCCTACCTCTTTTTGGCCTCGTCCAGCTCGGTCTGCGCCTTCCCAATCTCGATCTGCAGCCGTGCACGTTCCCGGGCCGTCTCGTCCAGCACCCGCCGGGCGTCAGCCAGCTCTGACTCGTAGAGGGACTTGATGCCACTCACCTGGGGATGCAGGATGGTGAGCAGGAGCTGGGGTCACCCTGGCTGGCCCTGCCCTCAGGCCAGTACATGACAGGAGATGACAGTGGGGACAGAGCCACCCTATGTCTCCATCTCAGATATGCCAGAGGAGACTGGGCTGTCTCTGGAAGGTCCCATCTCTCCTCCGTAAGCCTCAACTGGCACAGAGCAGTGCCAGACTGCAATTCAACCTGTGACCCCTGAGTACCAACACCTGGCCAACCCGTCCCCCACTGTGGCTCAGCCTGGCCTCTCAGGACAGCAGGAACTGCCCACAGGAAAGGTCTTGTGAAATTTCTATGTAGGCCGCTTCTGACATCAGAACCTGGGTGGGAACAACTATCCACCCAGGTAGCCCACTTGGTACCACGGACACTCAGGGTGTCCCAAACCATCCTGGGCCAAGCAGCACCCCTGGCCTTCACCCACTGCATGCCAGGGGCCTCCCCAGTCACAGAGGCCACACATGTCCCCCGATACCCAGTATCCCATTGCCTGGTTTAGAACCCCTCATCTCATGTGACATTTCCTTCCTCCAATAGACAGTGTCTCATGTAGCCCAAGCTGGCCTCCAACTCCCTATGTAGCCAAAGATGACCCTGAACTCCTGATCCTCCCAAGTGCTGGGATGACAGGCATATGACACTGTGCCAGGTTTATGTGGTGCTGGGGATGAACCCAGGGACATGTGCATGCTAGGCAAGCTCTGCCCACTGAACTACAAGCACTCCACCCACTGAGCCACTGTCCCACCCCAAAGCTGAAATCCCTACAGTGTTGACACATCTCATGATGCAGGCTGGGTAACACTCTGAGTTTGGGGGACAGTCTTCCCTGCTGCTTTGCCTGGGTCACTTCTACTCCCTTAAGGACAAACCTGGGAGCCCTTCCCGAGTCTGCCCTTTCTGAGTGTGCCCTCAGGGTCTTCCACAGCTGAGCAGAATCAGTGGGGGTAGGGGCTGGGTGGGAGGGTTGGGTCCCCTGGCCGAGGTTAAGCCATGAGCTTTGGGGCTGTCAGAGCCAGGCCTCCCCCACCACCTCTTGCCAGGGGCCTCAGGGGACACTTAGACGCACACAGCATTATGTCTCTGTTGGCCCACTGTGACCACAGCTGCCACCTGCTTCTCCCATATGCTGCCTGTCTGCACAGACTGCAAAGGCCAGCTGGGCCAGGGACTCGGATTTCACCTGGCCCATGTGCAGGGCATCAAGCTTAATGTGTTTAAAGACAAGTGAGGACAGACTGCAGGGAGCCAGCACTTCACACCCAGGGATGCCAATCAGGAAGATGGGCAGGCGCAGCCGTGGACGCAGCAAGGCCTCTGTGGATGCAAGTCTATAGGGTGCTCCCACCAAAGGGATACAGGGAGACACTGCCTGGCCCAGCTTAGCACTCCAAAAATCAAGCTAGGACACCTGCCCAGACACCTGCACACACAGGACCACTGCAGCACCATCCCTGACACCAAAGGAGTATGATCCAGCACCACCCACCCACAGGCAGATGGTGTCATGCACTATCCTCCACCCATGTGCTGGAGTACTACTCAGCCCTGAACAGGAGCCAGGCTCCAGCACATGCTGCAGGGAACTTTAGGGCTGCCAAGGGCATGTCACCTGGGGGAGAGACCCTGGGGGGGGTCCCTCCACCCGTCCAGTCTTAGGTGGCTTCTGTCTATTTAAACAGCTGGGACAGGGCTGGGGAGAGTCTGTGCCACTGGCTAATCACAGGAAGCTCCCATTTGGGAATGATCAATAAAGTTTTATTGGCACTTCACAATGCTGGGGTGCCATCTAAGGTGGCTTTGGCCCCACCACAATGCAAAGCTGGATTTAGCCACACAACCTGCAGAGTGGGAAACATCAGCTCCCTGTGAGGAACATGGCGTGGGAGGAGTGGCTCCTGGCAGGACGTCCACACTGGGCACTGGCCGTGTTTTCTGCTTTGTCCTCCATGGCTCGGGGCATGACTGACCCATATCAGTGTCAGAGCCTGGGGATCCAGATGGCCTGGGGCACCCTTTCCTTAAGTCACAGACATTCAGGGTGCCTTTGGTTAGAAATCTTTGCCCCCCCCCCCAGCAACAGGACACCAGGGACAGTAAAGGGCACCTCCCTTTACTCCCAGCTCCCCCTCGGGGAACCCTCCATCCTGTTCCCTACCACCCGTGACCACCTTGGACAGCCACCTCAGCCTTGTGCAAACCCCTTGGCACCAGCCCAAGGCACCCTCTCAACGGATCCCAAAGCCATATGTGGACGGCCCCAATTCCAGGTCAGAGTGAGTGAAAGGCGAGAGAGCTGGTACACAGGCAGCCTGCCTGGGGCAGGAGGGCGGGGAAACCTTGACGTGTGCCCAGGGGACAGAAGCACTGTCAAAGCAGTCCTCTATGGCCCCATCCCACTCTACTCGTGACCCGTACTTGGTGATTCCTTGTGGCTGGCTACACCCTGCCAGGCTCTGCCCACTCTGTGCCAATGGAGGCTCCCTCCATCTGTGATAGCCTCACCTGTCCCCTCAATTGACCAAGCTGTCTTGGGAGGAGTATGTGTTGCCTGTGTGGCACCCCAGGTCCTTTGTGGCCACCCCTCCCCCACTTCCTGTGCCCCTGAAAATCCAGCCAGGGCTGAGGACATGGTTGAGAGGGTTAAGTGCTAGCCACCTAAGCACGAGAACCTTAGTCTGAATCCCCCAGACCCCAGAAAAAAAGCAAGATATGCAGAAACCACAAATAAAAAGCCAGATATGGTGGCATGGGCTTGTAAGCCCAGCACTGGGGAAGCAGAAACAGGAGAGTCCCTGGACTCACTGGCCACACAGCCTGGCTAAATTAGTGAGACCCTGCCTCCAAAAGCAAGGGCAGTCAGCTCCTTGACCACAGAAGGCAGAGGCAGGCAGATTTCTGACATCGAGGCCAGCCTGAGCTACATAGTAAGTTTCAGGCCAGCTGGGGCTACAAGAGGCCCTGTCTCAAAACAACAATAAAAAATCCCAAGGGGTAGGAGGACTGGAGAGGAGGGTCCACTCAGTGGTTAGAACTTGCTGTCCTTCCAGAGGACCTGAGTTCTGTTCCTGTCACTGCAGCCCCAGGGGGTGGGCAAATACCTGTGCACAGACATAAACCAAAGTAAAATAAAACTTTAAGAGTATTAAGGGTCCTGAATCTGGGTTCACCTGACACCAGTCACCTCCATCATGCCACCCCAGTTCGACATCGAGATCAAAGTCGTCTACCTGAGGTGCACTGGAGGTGAGGTTGGCACCATGTCTGCCTTGACCCAAGATCAGGCCCCTGGGTCTGTCTCCAAAAAAAGTTGGTGATGACATTGCCAAGGCAACCGGGGATTGGAAAGATCTGAGGGTTACAGTGAAGCTGACTGTTTGGAACAGATAGGCCCAGACTGAGGCTGTGCCTTCTGCCTCTGCCCTGGTCATCAAAGCCCTCAGGAGCCACCAAGAGATGGAGAGAAGCAGAAAAGCATGAAGCACCAGGGAAATATCACTTTTGATGAGATTATCAACACTGCTCTACAGATGCGGCACTGGTCCTTAGCCAGAGAACTTTTTGGAACTATTAAAGAGATCCTGAGGACTGCACAGTCTGTAGGCTGCAAGGTGGATGGCCATCACCCTCATGACATCAGATGATATCAACAGTGGTGCAGTGGAATGCCCAGCTAGTTAAGCAAGAGACACTATTTCAATAAAAGATGATCTGACAGGGCCAGGCATGGTGGCACACGCCTTTGATCCCAGCACTCAGGAGGCAGAGGCAGCCTGGTCTGCCTGGTCTACATAGCTCCAGAGTTCAAGGCCAGCCTGGTCTACATAGTGAGTTCCAGGACAGCTGGGGCTACAGGGAGACCCTGTCTCAAGAGGACCAAAATAAAAAAGTATTAAGAAAAAAAAAAAAAGAATATTGAGGAGCCAGGTGAGGTGATGCATGCCTTTAATCCCTGCACCTGAGAGGCAGAGGCCAGCCTGGTCTATAAAGTGAGTTCCAAGCAAGCTGTGGCTACAGGGAGACCCTCTTTCAAAAAAGAAAGAAAGAAAGAAAAAGGATGGCAACTGAGGAAGACACCCAAGGCTGACCTCTGGCTTCCATGGACAGGACAGTGTGCATGCAGCATGGGGACAGGGCCAAGCTCCCCACCCCACACAAGGCCATACCAGACTGCAAGGGGTTGGCCTGCTTGTCTAAAGTCACTGAGGCAGGGGACTGGGGATCCTAGGCTGTCACTCTACCCCTGAGCCACGCCCCCATTCCTCACTGGCGATCCTAGGCTGTCACTCTACCTCTGAGCCACGCCCCCAACCCTCACTCCGGGTTCAAGGCCATCATTCTACCCCTGAACCACACCCCCAGTTCTTCACTGGGGGCCTCTAGGCTGTCACTTGACCTCTGAGCCACACCCTAGCCCTGTTCATGACTTTTGTTAAACCCTTTACTTGTTACTGTGTTGCTCATTTCACAGAGAACTCAGACTCAGGTGGTATTAGGGTCTGAACCAAAAGTCCCCCAGGAACGCTCACTACTGCTTCACATCTTCTCCTGGGAACCTGTCCCTTCTCTCAAGCCCTACTTTGGTACATGGCTCTGGAATGAGATCGTGGGACCCACACCCTACTGAGGTATAATGCTGGGGGCTGTGCTTCCTCATACTGTGGAGAGCAGCCCTTCCCTGGATGTCACCCTGTCAGGAACCTTGGAGCCCCTGGCCAGACCCCACCCAGCACCCCTAATGCCATAGCCTCCTGTCCCCTGAGGGGTGACCACACAGAATCCCACAATGCTCTCTGGATCTAACAGCATGCCTGCCATGCCTCTAGGGTCCTCTGTGATTAAGACCCTGACAGGCCAACAGTGCTAAGGCCCCAGGACCCCTGGTTGCCTGGCAACACCAGAGGCACCTGATCTCCTCCTCAGACCCTCACCCACTGCAGGCCCTGGTAGGACACAGTGCCTGCTGACCCCCTGCTGACCCCATCCCACCCCAGGTTCAGCTCTGTCAGCTTTGGACCTGTCCAAAGACCACGTGATTAATATGACAGACCCCCCCCAAGACCCTTCACCCCTTTCTGTGGACTCACTTACAGACCCTGAGTTCTCTGACCCTATTCATGGGTGAGCACCCCCCAATGTCTCCTAAGAAAGTGGAGAGCAAACATCTCCCAGACCCCCATGAGTAGGACAAAATCCCCCTCAACTCATTCCCCCTCACCCAGGGGGTCCCCAAGTCTCAAAATCCTAAGGGAGATAAAATACAACCAAATCATGGCTGTGTGTGGTGGGGCCACACCTTTGATCCCAGCAGAGGTAGGTGAATCTCTGTGAGATCCAGGCCAGCCTGGGCTACAAAGAGTTCCAGGCTAGCCCAGGCTATATGGGCCAATCCTGTCTAAAACCCCACCAAACTGGGGCTGGAGAGATGGCTCAGTGGTTAAGAGTACCAACTGCTCTTGCAGAGGACCCGGGTTCGATTCTCAGCACCCACATGGTGGCTACAAACCGTCCTTAACTCCAGTTCCAGGGGAAACTGAAGCCCTCTTCTGACCCCTGTGGCATTGCACGACACGGGTGCACTCACAGACATGCAGGCAATACACTCATACACATAAGATAAAAATAATAAATTAAAATAAATTTTTTTTGGTCTTTTTAAGACAGGGTCTCTCTGTAGCCCCAGCTGGTCTGGAACTCACTTTGTAGACCAGGTTGGCCTTGAACTCACAGAGATCCGCCTGCCTCTGTCTCCCGAGTGCTGGGATTAAAGGCATGCGCCACCATGCTCAGCTATAAATAAAATATTAAAAAAAAAAAACAACCCACCAAACTAAGACCAGTGTTCTACCCAGAGTGATCCCTGGATGGGTGTGGTGGCCCACTCTGTGTATTCCTTCTGAGAACCCAGAAATCCTTTCTTTGACTCCTCTCTCTGCACATTTGACCAGAAGCACTCCCAAAATTTCCCCTGAAGTATGTGAGCTGACCAGCCTACAGTTGTCCTTTGGTGACTCGGGAACAGTCCCCACTCACTGAAGCCCTAGAACCTGAGGGTCCCCCCAGCACAGACTCTAACCTGCACTCTCACTTAGGGGGTCCCCAGATCCTGTGGAAGGCTAGCCCCCTGTCCAATATCATCTGTTTAGGATCCCCGATTCCAAAAACATGCTTGTAGCCCCTAAGATCACAGAACCCACCTGCTCTGCACCCCATTTCAGAGGACCCAAAGATCTCATCACACCCCTAATGCAGGTAGCATTGCCCAGTGTGTACCTGTCTGTCTCTCAAGGGTAGGAGTCCCTGTGATCTCTGAAGCCCTCACGGCTGGGGCTTTGCCAGCCTATCTCTGTCTCAGAGGTCTCCGAAGCTGAAGGGACCTTAGGACAGACCCCCAGCACCTATTCAGGGTCCCCAAGACTCTCATGAACCCCTACTTAGGGAGGTCTAGCTCAGTCTCTACACATATCACTGCTGTTTTCCAAGAATCACCCACTGTTCTTTAAACCGACGACCCCTGGATGGGCGGGGCTTAGCTCTGTGTGCGCCTGTCCAGGGTGGGCAGAGCTTGGCTCGATCCGCACACTTCTGGGTGGGCTCGACTTAACTTTGGCTGTGTCACCTCCCGGGGTCCTCGTGAAGGAGGGGCTTAGCCTCTTGTGCACCTGTCCTTGGGGGATCCACCTATCTCAGCACCCTGTACACCTGTCCGAGGCATCCTGGGTGGGTGGGGTTAGTCCCCTGTGCAACAGTCCGAGGCATCGTGGGCGGGGCTTAGCCCCCGGTGCACCTGTCCGAGGCATCCTGGGTGGGTCGGGCTACGCCCCCAGTGCACCTGTCCGAGGTGTCCCCGGGTGGGCGAGGCTGCTCTACACCTTCCCGGGTCCTGAGGTCCCCCATACCTCGCGCGTGGTGACCTCCTCCTTCTCGGAGATGCGGAGTAGCAGCCGATCGTTCTCCAGCTCGAGAGCGCGGACGCGGTCGATGTAGTGAGCCAGGCGGTCGTTGAGCTCGCGCAGCTCCTCCTTCTCCTGCAGCCGCGACAGGCGCGTGGGTGACAACGGCGTGGCGGGGCCCACGCGGCCCGGCGTAGACGCCATGGCGGCGGCGGCGCGCAGCTCCAGTTTGTTGCCCCGGCGCGGCGCGCTCATTCAATCCGCGCCGCGGAAGATGGCGCCGCCGCCTGCCTCACGGGGCACGCCGGGACTTGTAGTTCGCCCGCCAGCGCAAAGCACGCAGGGAGCGGTCGTCATGGCGGGTGGGGGGGTGTTGCCGCACGGAGCACCTCGGGAGATGTAGTTTGAAGCTCCTGAGGGGGAGGCGGGTCCTGTTGTTTCTTACTTAAGAACATGGCAAGGGCCGGCGAAAGGGTTCATCTGGTAAAGTCACTTGTGGCCAAGTTTGAAGACCTGAGCTCGATTCCCGGGTCCCACAAAGGGAAAGGTGGAAACCAACTCCAGCAAATTGTCTCCCGACTTCTTCATGTATGTGCTCCCCCACCCCACAAGCGCAAACACAAAAATTAATAAATGTAAGAACAATTTTAAAAAGTGGCATTGCAGGTGGCCAACACCGTCTTTCCAGCACTGTAGAGGCTGAGGCCAGGAGGATGGTGAGTTTCAGGCCAAACTAGGATGAATAAAAAGATCATGTCTCAGACAGTAGAATAATGAAAAAATTTAAAAATAAGAGGGATGGAGGAAGCTGGGGAGTGCTCATAGCTCAGTGGGCAGAGTACATTGCAGGAGGTCCTGGGTTTATCCCTACCACCATGGTGCTAGGTGATGCATGGCTGTCATCCCAGCACTCTGGATTGAGAAGCAGAAGGATCAGGAGTTTAAGGTCATCCCCACCTGCATAGGGAATCTGAGGCCAGCTGTCCTACAAGAGTCTATCTATCTATCATCTATCTATCTATCTATCTATCTATCTATCTATCTATCTATCTATCTATCTATCATCTATCTATCTATCATCTATCTATCATCTATCTATCATCTATCTATCTATCTATCTATCATCTATCTATCTATCATCTATCTATCTATCATCTATCTATCTATCATCTATCTATCTATCATCTATCTATCTATCATCTATCTATCTATCATCTATCTATCTATCATCTATCTATCTATCATCTATCTATCTATCATCTATCTATCTATCATCTATCTATCTATCATCCATCTATCTATCATCTATCTATCTATCATCTATCTATCTATCATCTATCTATCATCTATCTATCATCTATCTATCTATCTATCTATCATCTATCTATCTATCATCTATCTATCTATCTATCTATCTATCATCTATCTATCTGAGGGGATGTTCAGGGGAGGTGGCTCAGTGGACACATCCCTTCCTGGGCAAGCATGAAGACCGTTCAAATCCCAGAACCAACATAAAGCCAGATTGGTCACAGCAAGCTTGTAATGCCAGCCCTGCATGGGGAGACAGAGACTTGAGGAGCCCATAAAACTCCTGGCCAGCTGGCCTGGTGTACAGAGCAGAAAACAAGAAGGGCGGTCCTCTGACTCCACATATGTGCACTCTTACACACATGTAAATGCAACTTGATTTGATTTGGTTGTGTACAGTTAAATGAAGGGACAGTAGTGCTCATTTAACATGGGCAGCCTAGGGAGTAGGTTTCTGATTTTGTATTATATGCTTCTGGGAGGGTTGTTCTTTATGGTCGATCTGGGAGGGGGCAGCACCCACTCTACATGGAATACTCCTCCCCACTCAGACACCATAAACAGCACCAAGCAAAGTCACTGTCATTGTCTCCATCAAGACCCTAGTTATCAGTCCATTCACCATAGCCTAGAATCCCCCAGTGACAGTCTAGGGGCGTGGCTCAGGGGTAGAGTGACAGCCTAGAATTCCCAGTGAAGGGCTGGGGCATGTCTCAGAGGTAGAGGACTTCTGTAATATTCCGAAGGCCTTAGGTTCCATTTCTAGAATTAAATATCTGATTCCCATTGGCCTGCTTGCGTTTCCCCCTTAGCCTCTGACACCCTCTGTGCCTTCTGGTTTATCCAAGCAGTTCCCCCAGGCATGCCCTTCCTTGCCTGCCCGGAATCCAGATTGCCGGCTGTGCCACTCCAGGATTGTAATAAACTTCCTCCCTGTCCTCTGGGCGCTGGGCGGGGTTCCTGGTGCACCTCACCCCCGCACTCCAGGGCTGGACTCTCAGTCCCAGAATACCCTGCGGTGTCCTGGGTGGGGCCCCCTTACACTTTGAGAGGCATCCTGTGATTTTCAAATTTTGGCGCCTATTGTTGGGTGACAGCGGCAGCCCAGTGTCCCCTCCCTACCCTGGGCCTCTCGGGTCTTCCTCATGGAGGAGACTGGGGAATTGGAGGACTGCTTTCCAGGAGTGGAAACTGAGGCACAGGTTGATCAAGGATCTGCCAGGTTGGCCTTGAATTTACAGAGATCCACCTACCTCTGCCTCCCAAGTGCTGGGACTAAAGGCTTGCGCCACCACGCCCAGCTTAGGGGAGACATTTTAAAGCCTTAATTTAGGAACTCAATCCCAGAGTTTAAAGACTAAGTTAAATCATAATTCAAGAACTTGGGACTCCAACTCGAAAGTTCCCATTGAAATTGGGGGATTGTCAGCTGTCTTTCAACATGTAACTGGACTGATTCAATTAAAGATGTGGAAGGCAAGCCCTTAACCCCAGCACTCAGGAGGCAGAGGCAGGTGGAAGTCTGTGAGTTTGAGTCCAGCCTGGTCTACATAGTGAGTTCCAGGCCAGTTGGAGCTACAGGGAGACCCTGTCTCAAAAAACAAAAAGCAGACAAAAAGCAAACAAATAAACAAACAAAAAACACCAAAATATATGTGTATATAGTAGTCCCCTACTTCCCAACTAGAAAAGATATTTTGAGACAGATCACATTCATAAATTTAGTAAATTATTTAAGCCCCGCATGGTAGTGCACACCTTTAGTCCCAGCACTTCGGAATCAGAGGCAGGCAGATCTCTGTGAGTTCAAGGCCAGCCTGGTCTGCATAGCAAGTTCCAGGTCAGCTGGGGCTGCAGGGAGACTGTCTCAAAAAGCAAAAAAGAAAAAAAAAAATTTAGTGAATTATTTCTGGGTATTTATAATCTCTTGTATTCCTCAATAATAAATTAAACTTTAAATTGTATTACTCTTTTGTGTGTGTATATGTGTGGGTGTACATGGGCCACCACCTGCTACCTTCTGTGGGTCCCAGGGATTGAATTCTGGCCCTTAGGCTTGGTAGTAAGCCCCTTTTATCCTCTGAGTCATCTTGCTGATCCTAGATATAAAATTTTATCAAAGGTGTGTGTATAGGAGAGGCATAGTATATAGAGGAGATCACTATGATGTGCCATTTTGGATCCCCGCTAGGGGATCTAAGGATGTAGTTCCCTTGAGTAGGGGAGGAGACTGTCACACTTTAATTGACATTTTGTTTGATTTTGTTTTACTAAGTGTTATGTGTGTGCATGCTGTCTGAGGGAGCACTTGTCACCTGGTTCCTGTAGAGGTCAGATGATAGCTCTGAAGAATCATTGTTCTTCCACCTTTACATAGGGTCTTGGTGTCCAACTTCTTCATTTCCCAGGCTTGCACTGCAAGCCCCTTTAACCACTCAGCTGTCTGGACGCCATGTTTTATCCCAGCGACCCTGGCTAACCATGAAGTAACTTTGTAATCCAGGCAGTCCTGGCACACAGAATGCTGAAGTATTAAGACAAGTTTTTTAAAAAAATATTTTATGATGCCAGGCGTGGTGGCACACACCTTTAATCCCAGCACTCGGGAGGCAGAGGCAGGCGGATCTCTGAGAGTTCGAGGCCAGCCTGGTCTACATAGTGAGTTCCAGGACAGCTGGGGCTACAGGGAGACCCTGTCTCAAAAAGACCAAAAAAAAATTATTTATTATTTTTATTTTTATGTGTATGAGTGCATTGCCTGCATGTGTGTGAGTGCACCCATGTCGTGCAATGCCAAGGTCAGCAGAGGGCTTTGGGTTCCCTTGGAACTGGAGTTAAGGGTGGTTCGTAGCTGCCATGTGGGTGCTGGGAATTGAACCTTGGTCCTCTGCAAGAGCAGTCTTAACCACTGAATCATCTCTCCAGCCCCTAAGATGATAAGTTTTTTTTTTTTTTTTTTTTTTGTCTTTTTGAGACAGGGTCTCCCTGTAGCCCCAGCTGTCCTGGAACTCACTATGTAGACCGGGCTGGCCTTGAACTCACAGAGATCCTCCTGCCTCTGCCTCCCGAGTGCTGGGATTAAAGGCGTGCGCCACCACACCCAGCAAGATGATAAGTCTTAACCAACATTGGACATTTTACCAAGTTTCTATCTCAAAAAAAAAAAAAAAAAAAAAAAAAAAGAAGAAGTGGAAAGTGAGGGGAGGCAGGCGATGGTGTGGAGTCTCCCAGGGTAAGTGTGAGGAACACTTTCGTGCCAAGCCTAGAATGTCATTTTGAGTTGCCCTTTCCACAATTTGATTTTTCCCATGGAAAAAGGACTTAAACTGGTCCTGGTGGACCAGTGCTAGGGAGGCAGAGGCAGGCTGATCTCTATAAGGTCAAGGACAACCTCATCTACATGGTGAATTCCAGGCCAGCTGGGGCTACAGGAAGACCCTTCTAAAACATTTTTTTCAAAATATTTTATTTTTTTATTTTATTATTATTATTTTTTGGTCTTTTTGAGACAGGGTCTCAGCATAGCCCCAACTGGCCTGAATTCGCTATGGAGACCAGGCTGGCCTCGAATTCACAAAGATCTGTCTTCTTCTGCTTCCCAAGTGCTGGGATTAAAGGCATGTGCCACCACACTCGGCTATATGTTTTTTATTTATTATTTTTATTTTTTTATGTGTATGTGTGTATTGCCTGCATGTAGGTGAGTGCACCCGTGTAGTGCAATGCCCTCGGAGGACAGAAGAGGCTGTCGGATCTCCTGGAATTGGAGTTATGGACAGTTGTTAGCTGCCATGTGGGTGCTGAGATTTGAACCTGGGTCTTCTGTAAGAACAGTCAGTGTTTTTAACTGCTGAGCCATGTCTCTAGCCGTTATTATTATTATTTTCTAACAGAGCATATGTTGGGGGTTTATTTACAGAAGAGTGGGTGCCCCACATTTGCAGCTGTGCCGTAATGAGTGTGTATTTAAGTCCACGCTCCAATACAGATCCCGTGACCTCCCGACAGCTTCATAAAATGGTGAGAGGTGCCTCTTGGTGTTCTCAGCTATATATCCTTTGCCCTCCCCCCTAAAAAAGGCTTAAAGAGAACTTTCAGAGAGGTTAAGGCACTAACTCAAGGATCCACAGCAGTGGAAGGCTTCCAGCATTTTGAACCCAGAGACCTTGACCTTGAGTGGAGCTGCCATGCTCGGTTCCTCCCTACCCCTGTCTCTGCCCCTCAGAGTGTCTCTGTCCCCCAAGCCTGTGCTGTGCCTACCTCCTCCTCACGAGTTCCTGTCTTACAAATGTCTCGGAGTGCAAAGGATGAGATGGGGTGACTCACTGCACGTGGAAACCTGTCCTCAGGGACAGGAATGGAGTCCTGTTCCACTGTGGAAAGAAAACATGATGTCACAGCCCCGCCCTTCCCTGGCTTCATGCATTCCAGCAACTTCCTGGTGACAGGAGGGGGCCATCCAGCCCCCTCCCTGCAGCTACATGGCTGGTCTCCCTGACTCCTGTCCTCCCATGTTGCCTCTGCCCACTGCCCTCCATGGCTCCCAACTCCTTCAAGATCAAAGCCCAAGTCCTCCCTGCCTCCTTCATCCCTGCCTTCTCTTCCAACAGGCCAGGCTCAGTCCTGCCCAGGACCTTTGCAAAGCTGTGTCCTCTGCCCTGGGACTTTTGCATGGTCTTGCCCTCTGCCCCAGGGCCTTTGCACTCCCGTTTTCTTGGAGCTTCTCATGTCTGTTCTTTTCAGGTCTTTCAAGTGCAGATGCCAACCCCATGGAGGAAGCCCCCTTCTGACACTCCATCTGAGACAACCAGGACCTGCTCACAACCACCAGCATCCAACCAGCATGTGGCAAGTCTGTAGTGAATAGGCCCAGTCTGTCCTCAAACTCCCAGAAGCCCAAATGGCGCAGCCTCCTGAGTGCTGGGATAACAGGCCTGTGTCCCAGGCCCTGTTCTTCCATTCTGCCTTAAGGAAAAATGGGGTCTACAGTCCTTACTGGGTTTTCTTTTCTGGTCATTCATTTTAATTTAAAAGATCCTATTCAGAGACCAGTCAGACATTGAAGCATTGTCTAGGGGCTGGAGAGATGCTCAGCAGTTAGGAGCACTGGCTGCTCTTGCAGAGGATCTGAGTTTGGTTCCCAGCACCCACATGGCAGCTAACTATCTGTGACTCCAGTTCCAGAGAATCTGATGCCCTCTTCTGGCCTCCATGGGCACATACATATACACAGACACCCACAATTTCCATGTTCAGATGGCATTTATCTCCTGAATTGGGGGTGATGTCTGCATAAATACAGTAGGCTGAAAGCTAGCTAAATTAGGTACTGTGGAAAGTGAATGTGGTAGCCACATCTGTCATCCCAGCAGTCAGTAGGTTGAGACAGGATTACTGTGAGTTTCAGACCAACCTGGCTATAGGTGGAATGAGTTCTATCTCAAACAGAAAGAGTGCTTACAACTCAGTGGGCAGAGTGCTTGTGGCACAGTGGGCTTAGTGCTTGTAGCTCAGTGGGCAGAGTGCTTATAGCTCAGTCAGTGGACAGAGTGCTTATAGTTCAGTGGATGGAGTGCTTGTGTCTCACTGGGTAGAATACTCCCCCACCTAGTATGCATGCCAGGCATCCCAGCATTGGGGAGGTAAAGGCAGGAGGATCAGGAGTTCAAGTTCAATCTTGGTTCCCTGAGACCCTGTCTCCAAAAATGCTTAGGAAAAAAAAAAAAAAAAAAAAAAAAAAAAAAAAAAAAAAAAAGAAGAGAAAAGGTCAAATGGGCTCACCAGGTGATGTTTCCACAGTCCAGCCCTTCCTGGTGGCCTCCCAACAGCAGCCAAAACACCCTGCTCCCTGGAGCCCCAGCCTTTGTCCTGGCAGTTTCCACAGCCCAGATGACATTTCCGGTCCGCATAGGAAAGCCTGCTTCTCCCTCAGTGCTTTGTCTGCCAGACCCACAGGGTCGTTACTGGCTCTCTCTACACCCCAAACACCGGCTCAGTGCTGTGCAGCTCTGACTCAACGTGTCTCCCTGTACACTGATTTTTTGTTTGTTTGGTCTGAGACTTAGTCTCATGTAGCCCAGGTTGGCCTGGATCTCACTGTGTAGCTGAGGATGTTTTGAACTCTTGACCCTTCAGCCTCCTCAGTACTGGGATGACACGTGTGTACCACCCACCTGACCTGGTTTATGTGTGCTGGGGATGAAGCCAGGGCCTCTAGAGCGTGCTGGGCCAACACTCTGTCCACTGAGCTACAAGCACTCTACCCCCTGGGCTACAAGCATTATCTACCCGTTGTGCTACAAGCACTGGGACACAATCACAGGCCCAGCTGTCAGTTAAGCTTATTAAAACATTGTATCTGGCCAGGCATGGTGGCACATGCCTTTTATCCCAGCACTTGGGAGGGTTTGGGGGCGGCAGGCTTGTTGGGAAGTGCCCTTATCTACTGAGTCTGCCTGCCAGTCCCTCACATTGTATATTTAAAATATTACATTACTGTGTAGTATATTCCGCGTTGGGATATAGGTCAGTGGTGGGTGGTGGGTGCTTGCCTCACATCCATGACGGCCGGTTTCAGTTCCAGCATCGCAAGAAAGATTTTTTTTTTTAAAGGTCTTTTTGTAGCCCCAGCTGTACTGGAGCTCACTATGTAGACCAGGCTGGCCTGAACTCACATAAATCCGCCTGCCTCTGCCTCCCAAGTGCTTGGATTAAAGTCGTGCGCCACCACGCTCGGCCCAATAATTTGTTTTTTAACTACAAAAAATAGAAAATTTTTTTATTGAACTGTGCTCTCTCGCTCCTTTTCCGGAAGCTGTGCGCGCAGTGACCTCGTATGGTCACCAGGTGGCGCCGCAGCGCCTCGCACGCTTCGGGACATTTCGCGCTCTGGGTGGGCAGTGAGGAGGAGGTGCGATGCGTCACCGGACCTGGGGACCGGGGTTGGGGGGACCCAAGCTGTGAGTCATCGGGAGCCCCCGTGCACCGTGGGAGACAGTCCCACGCGGGGCCTACACGTCCACCTGGTGTTCTGAGCTGCTGTCTACGCAAGGCTGTGTTTGGCTCCTCCACCCGAGACCCACGCAATGGCTGCGATCAGAACCGGCTCTCCAGCCTCAGTTTCCCCTTCTGCTTAATGCAGATAATCAAAACTCTGCTTGCCAAAAATCTTGGATGAAATAAATTACGCACTCCGCAGGGGAGAGGGACGGTGGTTCAGATTGTGCACTGCAAAAATACGAAGTCCACGTTAGACCCCGGAGCAGCCAAACAGAAGTGTCCGTCATCTCCTGCCAGCTCTGGCCTCAGTTTGCCCTCCGGGGTCAGGTGCTGGGATGCAACTGAGGCTGGCTCTCCAGGCAGCCGGCAGGGGGCGAGGCCGCTCAGCAGAGAGCTGGCAGACCTATGCACCTGCGCCTCCCACGCACACCCCACCCTGATACCCTGAAACTCGCAGGGTGCAGGGAGGGAGAGGGGGTGCCTCGCCTCTTCCCCAAGATTCCCTTAGGTCTCTGCAGCCCTTGTATCTGGGGGAAACTCTAACCTCTAAGGCATCTCCTGAGACCACCTGGCAACTTTTATTGGGCGCTTCCTGTTTACCTTATTTTAGTTCATCCCCCCCCCCCGTCCCTCCGTAAGGACGGTGTGCGTCCTCAAAGCACGGTGCTGGGGACCTTATCTTCGTGGTCCTTACTTTTGGAGGGATCCTCCGACGCCTCAAACTTATTGAGCGCTTACTGTATCCCCCTGACGTAGTTTAATGCGCTCACCGACCCTACAAAGCTGGGGCTGTTGACTGCATAAGTCAACTAAGGTCTGGGGTCGCCAGAGATGGGAAAGATACACCCGCCCCCAAATAAACCACGACAGCCTACTGGGGATCAAGCTGCAAACGAAGCTCCCTTTTTCCGTGCACCCTTTTTTCTTGCAGAACCTGGGAATGGCTGGAGTTGGGGACTCTCCGGGGACAGGGAGGGGAATCCAGACATCCCACCCCGAAAGTCCAGACCAGCCTCGCGCGCTGGAAACCCCGCGCGCGCCCTGCGTGGCGCGGCTGCCGGGAAATCAGGACAAAAACTTCTGTTTTTTTGTCTCCGTGTGTGGTTTTTTTCTTCTCTGGCAGTCGCCAGTGCCCCAGTTCCCTCCTCCCAGCTCGCACCCCCACGTGGGGCTCGCAGCCCTCCGCGCCCCGTCCCTGCCCAACGTTTCACCAATCACAGCGCGGACTTCTCTGGCCTTTGTGTGTCTACCAATGGGAGGGGAGCTCCGTCCTCGCTATGCAAATGTAACCACGCCCCTCAACGTGCAACTAGATATAATCCGGCTCCAGGGCTGACCCGCCGCTCATTCTGCAGAAATCTTGGACGCGGTCGCTTCTCTGGAATCCTTGGATTAATTTGCTGAGGACATTTTGCAAACTTACTTGTCCTGCCTTTTTCTTGGGAAAGGACATCCAGTCGCTTTCTGAAGATCTTGGACGGCTCCCATTGAGTGGGAAGGTTTATTTCATTTTTTGCTTCTCTGGGTTGGATTTATTATCACAATTTTTTGCATACTTTTTCCTTGTGGGGTCCGTTGTGGAGTATAATTACGTCATGACTCTGGAGGAGCTAGTGGCGTGCGATAACGCGGCTCAGAAGTGAGTAGAACCGGGGACCGAGGTCTCCCCTGCCTCCTGGGGACGGCAGGGCTGCCACCGATGGGATTGGGCCTTGCTCCGGACTAAAATCACCTCCTCTCCTTCGACCTTTTAGGATGCAGACAGTGACGGCCGCTGTGGAGGGGCTGCTGGTGGCGGCGCAGCGTCAGGATCGCCTCACGGTGGGGGTGTACGAGTCGGCCAAACTGATGAATGTGTGAGTCAGCAACCCCTTCTCCCCCCCTTTTTTTCCCGGGCGTGGGTGGGGGCGTCCCTCGGATGCACGCAGGGTTTTGCACCGACCTTAGGGGACTTTCCCACAAAACGCTCCGTGTCAGTGGAGGTCAACATTTCTCTGGGATGTCTGGGGGTGTCCTACAGAACCCTGACATTGCGAGCTATTGATTTTAATATTTACTTTTACAAGGCAAAATCCCATTAACTTTGAGCTGTGGGTCCTCCCCTCCCCCACGACCCCCAGCATTTGCGCAGTCCACCTCCCTAGCAACCCGGCTGCTGCCAGCGGTGGGAGGGTGGGAGTTTTGCTCACTCGGGGTGCACCGTGGGTCTTGTTACCACCTAAACCACCCCCATGACATTGTATGCCTCCTCAGTATGCTCTCTCTCGGACACTCCCCCCACCCCCAATAACCAGGTCTAATGCACACCCCACTGTTTCTCTCGCCCGCAGGGACCCGGACTGCGTGGTCTTGTGCCTCTTGGCGATGGACGAGCAGGAGGAAGAGGACATCGCGTTGCAGATCCACTTCACTCTCATCCAGTCCTTCTGCTGTGACAACGAGATTGACATCCTCCGCGTGTCTGGCATGCAGAGGTTGGCCCAGCTGCTGGGGGAACCTGTCGAGACGCTGGGCACCACCGAGGCCCGGGACCTGCACTGCCTGCTGGTCACGGTGAGCCTGCCTCTCGCTCTTTCTCTCCCGCCTCTGCCCCAGGGTACCGCAGTCCCGTGTTTGTCAACATAGCTGAGCTGGCCCATCCTGCACCAGCTCACAGCCCAACCACGCTTGGCATGTTCCGTGGGCAGCCTGGTCACATGTGCAGCCTGGTTGGTCACCCGGGCAGCTATTTTGAGCCTGCATGTTTGTCCCCTCCACCTGTCCACCCGAGTGAGAAATTCTTCACTGACCCCCTAGATCACCCACTAAACCCCATTTCCCCCCTCACCGAACTCCTACATCACCCGCTAAATCCTCCCCATTTTTCCCCACAGAACTACCACACAGATTCTTGGAAAAGCGAAGGCCTGGTGGAAGTTGCCAGTTACTGCCAAGAAAGTCGAGGCAATAACCAGTGGGTCCCCTATATATCCCTGGAGGAACGCTGAGGCCTTTCCACACACCCCCAACAAAGTCTAAGGCAACTGTTGAGTTGCTGACACCCTTAAAAATTTAAATAAAATTCATATTTGGCTCCCTCCCTCCCCTGGAGGAAAACCCTGGCAAAGCCATAAACCGCCCTTGACCGTGGGGAGGGACAGAGTCAGAGAGGAGGAGAGGGGAATGCGAAGCTTCCCACGCACACACTCTGGGCTGCTTGAGGCTCCTGGCCGCCATGGAGAGAAGAGGAAGAAGCAGGAAATGGGGAACCCACGCCTGCAGAGCCCGGGCCTTGTGACCCCTGCGACCCCTGTACAGAGGCTGGAGATGTGGGAGCAGTTGCCTCCCTCCCACCAGCGTGGAGAGTCTGGACTCCAAAACTACGTCAGGAGTGGGGCGAGACCCAGCGGCCCCTACCCTGTCTGAGGTATTTGAACAGTGCGCTACCTGGTCAACAGAGGGTATCCACCCTCAGGACTCGGGGGTCCGGAACCCGAACCCCGGAACTTGCAAACTGCGGATTCTTATAGACGACTATTTTGTTACTTGTGACGGACAAGATGCTTGCAGACTGATACATAGATGTATTTTTTTTTTTCAATTCTACTACAGAGAGATTGTAATAAAGTGGTGAAGCCTCCTGACTGGGCAGATTTTGGCCCCCCCTCAACCACCCAAGCCGTCCATCCCACCCGGTTTCCACACTCTCGCCAGAAAGCCTTTACGGGGGGGGCGGGGGGGACACCTAAACACTGTCGCTCTTTACTTTTTTTCTCACCGCTCCATAGCAATTAAGACCTGGGTTTATTGCGGGGCGCCTGCTGGAGCCTCTGGCTGGACCCACCTCAGGTCCGCGCCGCAATCCCCGCCGCCCCGTGCCCCCCGCCCGTAACCCCTACAGCCGGGCACACACTACCCACAGCACACGCGGTGCACTTGGCTCTGTGCCAGAGGGACCTTTGGGGAAACTTCCACCTCCCTTGGAGGCACTCCCATTTTTCACGCTCTCAAACTCCTTCCCTGGTCCAGTCTTTTATTTTCCCAAGCTAACATCAATTAGGAAGACACCCCGGGTTTCTTGGGGCGTCCCCTTCTCCCCGGTCTCCCAGCCCCACTGGACTCAGTTTACCCTTCTGCAGGGTGGGTGAGCTCCGGATCAGCGGCCTCGACCTTTCTACAGAACCCCACGTGGGTGGAAGACGCCCGCTTCCCCCCCCCCCGGGAAGCCCCGGAATCGCGCGGGGGGGGTGCCACAAAAAGGGGATCGCCAGGGGTGCAAGGTGTGGGGGAGGGGAGGAGGGGTCGGGGTGATAGGGTGCAAGGTGTCGGGGAGGCGAGAGTGGTTGGGTCGACAGATGTGCACACACAAGTGGGGCACCCCAGGCTCCTCCCAGCTGGCTGTGGTCCCCAGGCAGTTTCCAGCCTGCTCTGCCCTGGGCTTGTAACCTGCTGTTGCCCCTTTTCTGAACTGGCCTGTACTGGACTAATCGCTGGCCTCTGGGTCCCCTACCCAGTGCACATCACACTGAAAGCTTCCAGAAACAGTTGGACCCCTTGAGCCAGGAGGACCTTAGACTTTCATGCCTTGCCTCAGTTTCCCCCTCTGATAAATGTCATCCATACCAAGGTATGAATCTTCCTGAGTAAATCATTTCGAATACCTGGATTTCTGACTCAACAAGCGTCCAGCGTCTTCATTCCACAATTAAACTGATCCAGCCCCTTTTTCACCCCAAAGGAAGGCTGAGGGTCAGCTTGCAGAAGCTACAGTGGTTTGGAGTCCAGAATTCTGGGTGGATGGCTGAGCAGGAGCATGGTGGGGTTATGGGAAAACCCAGGCTGCTGAGGGGAGGCTGGGCCACCCCAGTCACCTGGGAGAATGGGTCACAAATCCCAACTTTCATCCTGTCCTGGGCTCCCCTGAGGGACACTAGCTGGTGCCAGGCAACTTGGGTGTGTTCCCAGGACACTGAGGAGGAAAAACTTGGCGATCCCAACTGCAGGTCACAGGCAGATGGGCAAGACATGCATGCATGTGCACATATGCACACAAGTCCCCCAGAACGCCAAATCCCTGGAACTAGGTACTTCCGGGTTTTATTCTTGGTCAAATCGCTCCACCTCTCTGAGCTGGAGTTTCCAGCAGGACACACACAGCACCCTTGAGCACGCACAAGTGCTCCACCTCTGAGTCCCGCCCCCGTCCCAATAAGTTGGGAATCCAGGCCAACTTACTGTTCTCACAGGTGTGTCCTCCCTCAGATGTCCCTGAGGATGGATGGTCTCCCCTTCTGTGCATCTGCCTGTGGTTTCTTGCTCCTTTGCTCCTGTGCTAGACCTAAGACTAACAGAGGTATGGTATGCTCCATCGCCTCAAGAATTTGGCATACAATCAATGCTATATAAATGCAGGTGACACAAGAATCAAGTCCCATCAAAAGAGAGTTTGACACATTGGTGACTTTCTGTGACCCAGCCTGAGGACAGAAGGCTTTGTTCCTCAGGTAGTCATGTGTTCTAGAATGTTGAATCCTAGTCAAGTCTGGTGACACCACTCAGCTCAGGGAACCCTGTTCTGGAGAGGTGGCCAGTCATGGGACCTTGGGCAGATGGTTCCACCTCCCTGGAATGAGTTTATCTATGCCACAGGGATTACATAGCCTGGTGTCTATCTCCTGGGGATATCCTGGGCCAGTCACTGAATTACAGTAGTTGAGGACTGGGGGATTACTCAGAGGTAGAATGACAGCCTAGAATCCCACAGTGAGGGGCTGGGGGGTGTGGTGGTAAAGCACTATCCCTCCTCCAGCCCTCCTTTTTAGTTTTTGTTTTAAGAAGGTGTCTTGCTGAGTTGCCCAGGCTGGTCTTGAATTTCAGATCCTTCCTTAGCCTTCACAGTAGCTGGGCCACCAGGCAAGGCTTCCATGGATTTTGAGTGAATGAAGGTTCACAACCAGGGCTTGTGTTCTGAGACAGGAGGTACAGAAATTTACAAAGAAACACCCCCACACTCATCAATGATCTGGGGGGGGTCTTTAAAGAGGAGCTTGGCCTTTGGTGTCCCTCTGGATGTCTGAGGTTTACTCCTAGAGTCAGAAACCTTGTCTCCTGCCCACCCTGAGGGGTGTCCTTGTGTAACTGTAATCGTTAAGAAAACCTCAAGGGGCTGGAGAGATGGCTCAGCGGTTAAGAACACTGACTGTTCTTCCTGAAGACCCGGGTTTGAATCCCAGCACCCACATGGCAGCTAACAACTGTCAAAAACTCCAGTTCCAAGGGATCCCACAGCCTCTTCTGTCCTCCAAGGGCATTGTACAACATGGGTGCACTTACCTACATGTAGGCAATACATGCATACACATAAAATAGAAATAATAAATAAAAATAAAAGAAAACCTCAAACAAGGGACATGGGGAACTGCTGAACCCATCCCAGCTCTAGCCTTTGAATTTTGGAACCCTCAGCAACTCTAGTTTTTTTAAAGCTCATTTTATTTATTATCTGTGTCTGAGAAGAGAGGACAACTTGCAGCAGCCGGTTCTTTCCTTCTGTCTGTCATGTGGGTTCCAGGGATTGAACTTAGGCTGTCAGGCTTGGCAGCAAACTCTTGTGGCCTGAGCCATCTTGCTGGCCCTTTTGATTTTTTTGTTTTGTTTTGGTTTGGCTTTGAGACAAGGTTTCCCTGTAGCCCCAGCTGGCCCAGAATTTACTATGTAGACCACCAGGCTGGCCTCAATCTCACAGAGATCCCCTTGCCTTCTGAGTGCTGGGATGACAATTGTGCACCACGATGCCTGGCTTTTATTTTGTTTTGTCTCTTAATTGTTTTACATTGTATTTATTTATTGAGGGGGTGTATATGGGCACCCTGTGCAAGTCAGAGGGCTATTTTCAGAAGCCTGTTCTCTCCTTCCACCTCATGGGTCCCTGGGATCAAACTAAGGTCCTCAGTCTTATCAGCAAGCCCCTCTACTCTCTGAACCCTCTCACCCCTCCCTCCCTCGCGCCCCCCCCCCCCCCCCTTTCTCTCTCTCTCTCATTTTTTTTTTTTTTTTACAATCGAATCTCACTGTGTATCATGGACAGGCCTGGAACACCGTTCTGTGGCCATCTTGAACCTTCCAGTTCTGAGATCCAAGGCCTGCATGTCACCCACTCCAGAAACATCCTGACTTTTTTTTCTCAGCCCCTCAGCTCCACCAAGAAGACATTTCTCTCTGACTGCTTCACCCAGGTCAGCTTCTTTGCTTCTTTGCTTTAATGTCTTGGCCCCTTGGGGTGCTCAAAACTGGGGGAGGAAACCAAAAAGAGACTCAAGGGGTGAGTTATCTGGATGAATTGGGGCCCTGGAAGGGAGGGAGGGTGTTCAGAGAAACCTGGGACCCTGGAGCCAAAGGCCACATCTACGGGGGTTTCCTTTCTCTATTCCATGCCCAGATTCTTTCCCTACATCGTTCAAGAATCCCCCAGGTTCCCGCCCCACTCACTCCTCCCGACACTGGTCGGTTCCAAGGACCCTGAAAAAAGGGTGGGGTGATCAGCTAAAGGGCAGAAAACCAGGACCTCGTGTGCAGAGGGGGAGGTCTGCCGCCATGCTCCAGCACGCTATATGTGCGAGTTCAAACTTGAGATCCGAGTCACGCCAGTGTTTGGGGGGAGTGTATACAGCAGGCGCGCCATAAGTGCTTCTTGGCTGGCTCTGAGAAGGGCGGAGTTCACCCCTACTTGCAGGAAAAGAAAAGGTGACGGCCAAACTTTAAGTTTGATCCTGTTTCTGCTGGGATGCTAGAGTCACAGGAGCTCAGTGGGCTGTGACTCAGTTTCCCCCAACTTTAAAGACCATGGAACAGCCTCCCACGTGGTGAGCAAAGCGGAGGCGCTGGGGGGGGGGGAGCGGCAGAGAGCTGCTTCCAGCACCTTCATTACACTCCAGCCACCGCACCCTCCCGCCAGACACTCTGGGGGTGGTGTGGGCGCTGACCCAGACCCCAGACGCCCCTCCGCCTCCTCCCAGGCCTGAAATTGGATAATTGGAGCCAGGGCAGTTGTTGGAGTCCCAGACTGTGCAAGTGTCGAATACACAGGAGCCTGTCCTGGGGGACCCCCACCCTCGGCAGCACACCCCCTCCGGTGCACCCCCAACTTCTGCAGCATCCCTTTCGGTGCGCCCCCTACCCTCTCCAGCTCCCCCTCCGGTGCTCCGCCCTCCGGTGCACCCCAACCTCCGTAACGCCCCCTCCGGTGCACCCCCCGCCATTGCACCCCCTCCGGTGCCAGCCTCACTCTGGTGCCCGCCGGGCGCGGTGTCTGCGGCAGGCCGTGTGCACAGACGCTCCCTTTGTGCGCGGCGCCTTCCCCGGCTGCCTGGCGCTCAGGGCCGGGCAGGGAGCCAGCAGGAATCCGTGTGCGTAGCGCTGCAGGGCGGGGGACCCACTGTGTGCACGGCTGAGTCCGTGCAGCCTCTGAGTGCCTGCAACACCTACCATGTGCAATGTGCTGCCTCTGAGTTTATGCAAAGCAAAAACACTACGGTGTACAGCCCCTGGGCGAGTGTAAAGTGGCAGAATCTGCTGTATACAGCGCCGTGGTGTGTGCGGGACCTACTGGATGCCGCGTGCTGCCTGTAGGCTTGTGCAAAGCAGA